ATTTTCTCAAGTTGCTAATATGTCACATAATTTGTAATTAGATCATGAGGATGATTTATTTCCCAACCTAAATAATTTCAACTATCTTTTTAACACCTTTATAAACTCCTCCAAATTCGTTTAATTTCCCTCATAACAACTTTGCCTCTCCTAATTAATTCAATATATGAATATGCTACTCATAATCCTAGCAAAAAGGGCAATGTATTTTTTGTTTCTTTTCTTGTTGACTGTCCTTTCTTTTCCCATGTTTATTCACTCTTCCCCTGTTTCAGATCCTGAACTAATAGTTCAACAAGGACAAGGGTATGTTACATTAATTACGTTTCGTCTCCCTAATCAATTATACAAATTAGTACTAGTAGTTTTAAGTGATCAAAAATCACAAATTGTTCGACTAGAAGTCATATTACGGTTCTAGCTAGACGCGTTTTTTGTAGTAACAACATGTATATGTAGCTTACAACCTAGTTTGTTTTCCTTATTGCAGGACGATTAATGCTTCTAGGAGTAGTTTAGCGGCCTCCTCATGTCGTCGGTCTGGGAATCCAATTGATGATTGCTGGCGGTGTAACAAAAACTGGGATAAGAACCGGCAGATATTGGCTGATTGTGCCATTGGCTTTGGTAAGAATGCTGAAGGAGGTAAAAAGGGCAAAGTCTATGTGGTGAAAGATCCAAGTGATGATGCTGTCAACCCAAAGAAAGGCACATTAAGATACGGCGTTATACAAGATGAACCATTATGGATAATTTTCGCTATGGATGTGGTGATCAAGCTCAAACAGGAGTTGATGATCAATTCCTTCAAGACCATAGATGGAAGAGGTGCTAATGTGCACATAGCCGGGGGACCTTGCATCGTCTTACAAAAGGTTAACAACATCATCATACACGGCATTCACATACACGATTGCAAACGAGGAGGGAATGCATATGTAAGGAGAACTCCAACTCAATATGGTTGGAGAAGCAAGTCAGATGGTGATGGGATTTCTATCATCTCATCAAAGCATATATGGGTGGATCATTGCTCTCTGTCTAGATGCACTGATGGTTTGATTGACGCCATTCGTGGCTCCACCGCGATAACCATATCTAACAACTACATGACAGATCATAACAAGGTGATGCTCTTGGGGCATAATGATAATCATAAACAGGACAAGAACATGCAAGTTACAATAGCCTTTAACCATTTTGGAGAGGGCTTAGTTCAAAGAATGCCAAGGTATATATGATTTAATATAAAGTTGAAATAATCTATATATGTCATTTTTATGCACTAAATTTGTTTTTTTGATCCATTTTTCAGGTGTAGACACGGCTATTTTCACGTTGTAAATAATGACTACACTCAATGGCAAATGTATGCCATTGGAGGCAGTGCAGGACCAACTATCAACAGCCAAGGCAACAGATTCCTAGCTCCTGATAATCGGTCTAATAAAGAGGTGATTTTCACAGAATCGCTAACTATTTACTGCTAACTTTTCCGGCCATATCTAAACCCTTACAAAACTAACCCAAGGTTGTACCGTCCCCCATTACCTAAATTAGCTTATACCTGACTTAAATCGGAAGTACCTGGAATGACAAGACCAATTAGTGAAACAAAATCCAAAATCGGCCTGAACCAAAAAAATAAATGCTAATCAGCAATAGCCAATAGACAGTAGCCTTGACCTAAGATGACTTGAACCGAAGCAAATGACTGATTACCTTAATATGACTCGATCCGAATGGCTTGTAACAGGTCACTAAACGGGAGAATGCAGCAGAAAAGGAATGGAAGAAATGGAATTGGACATCAGAAGGGGATTTGTTTCTAAACGGAGCACGCTTTGTAAAATCTGGGAGTGGAGCATCCTCACCTTACGCCAAGGCCATGAGCTTAAGCGCTCAGCCAGCTTCACTTGTGGCTTCAATGACAAAGGAAGCAGGTGTACTCAAATGCCAGAAATACAGAAGCTGCTGATCTATTTCTGAACTCATATAGGCCAATCAACCATAATTTAATTGTTTCATTTGTTTTTTGTTCTTTATTTTTCGATATATAAATTACAAATACAAGAAAATAGAATCAGCTTTCTTCAATGAAATCTTTCATACAGGGATAAAAGTAATCACAGATTCACAGAATCACAGATGTGTTGTTGCTTCATTACATATGTTCAAATGATTATTCTACAGTGTTATTAAACCATGAATTCAAGAAACATGTTTCATCCATATAACTTTGACCCAAATTGTTGGTTTTTGTATGAGAATGCTTGTGGTAAATTCAAGCTGTTGGTAAATTTAAACCCAAAAAAAAAGAAGACAGGCACTTTATATCCTTCCCAAAACTCCATAAAGAATGTTCAACGATATCATACGGTAATATTCATTGCTTCCAAGACGGTTTAAAGATCAGAAAGTTAGACCGATCAAGTCCATGACATGATCGCCTCACCAGTAACTAGTTCATTAGGGGATCCATTTTAGATGAAATACATTAGATGTTTGTATATTAAAATTATTTTCTCAGAAGTATCGCCTGGCGAATAACTAGCAAGGGTGTTTGTTATTTCCTTGCACCCAAAAATCAAAGAAATAGAAGCTCTAAAAATCCAAACCAGTTACGTATTATCTCAACAAATTCTTCCAGTATATTCAAAGCCATTTCTCATTTGTGTAATTAATGTTATTGTTTAGAATCTGCACTCATAAAAATTAGGATATGCACTACAATCACATCAGTAATAGATCACCCCTGCTCAAACACAAACTTGAATACATAAAATCAGCCTTTTAGTTCTGTAATACTCGTACTTGTTTAAATTATGATCAAAGTCTGTAAGTCTGCAGAAGAGAGTCTTAGAATACTCTGTTCGGAAAATAAAGAGTAACAATCACATTGTCTAAACCTTCTGTAATTCAAGATCTACTATGATTACACAAAAAAACCCTTTATAATATGGAGTTATGGTTTTCTTCTTCCTGTAATCTATCCTCTCCCCAAGCCAAATACTCCAGTAAATTTGGGGTTATGAGTTTTTTTTTTTGGATAAAAGTCCTATCAAGAATGTTCTGAAATTGTGTATGTGACAAACTGACAATTATTATATGATGGAAATAGTATACAGATCCAAAAAGATCAAATAGCTGAAGATTAGGTGGAAATTACTTAAAATTCAACTGATATTCAACCTATTAATTCTATTTCTATGCTGGTCCTAGTAAAATTGTCTACGTAGTAACTTTTAAGGAATAATTACATTAGTCTTTAATTGTGTGACATCTTTGAAAAATTACACCAAGATAATTACAATTTGAAGTCAATTTTCAGTTATTTAATTTCATTAGTCGTACTGGTCCATTTTTTATCATCAAATTCAAGGGGAAAAAATAATAAATAAAAAAATAAAAAAAAAGGAAAAAAAAAACATAAGGCAACGCATCAGTTTTTCCCCTTGTTGATTGTAATCATCTTTTCATGTTTACTAGTTCATTTCCTGTTCAAAATCTGAGCTAGTAGTTCAAGAAGTACAAGAGTATGATTCGAAGACATTAACATCCATTGTGAGTTTGCAACAATAACTACTTTAAGAACCTTCAACCTTTAAAATTATTATTAAACACGTTTCACTTCCTTTTCACAGGGCTGTTGCCAACTCCGCTTGCAGAACGGCAATCCCATCGATGACTGTTGCAGGTGTGATCCAAACTGGGTCAATAACTGCCAGAATTAGCTGCCTGTGCCATCGGCTTTGGTAAGAATGCCAGAGGCGGTAACTATGGAAGCATTTATGCGGACACAACTCCTGATGATGACCCTAAGAACCCTAGACCTGGGACATTAAGGTATGAGGTCATCCAGGATGAACCATTATGGACAAACTTTGCTCAGAATATGGTAATCAAGCTCGAGAATGAGTTGATGCTTAACTCATTCACGACCATTGGTGGCATTCTTCGCCCCATCTTTTTCTAAAACTTTCAACTATGTAAATAGTCTCATTTCACTCCCTTAAAAATGGAGTAAAAAGAAGAAAAAGGGAGCCCTAGCATATTAGAGTAGTTAAAAATTTTTAAAATTTCGAATTCAGACGTTACTTGGGCATAGCATAGGTAACCTAGCAAGAACTAAAAAAGGTGTATGTTTCTAAGCAGCAATGAAATGCTTTGATGACTCTCAGAGGTCACTAGTCATTTTGATACAACACAAAGCGAATGGATGAAACAGAATTGGACATCACGAGGGGATTTGTTTCTAAATGGAGCCCATTTTTTGACCTCTGGAGATAAAACCTTGCCGCATTATGGCAATGCCACAAGCTTAGGAACTCCATCTTCACTAGTGACTTTTATAACAAGTGCAGCAGGTGTACCCTACTGCCACCCTCAACCTTAAAACGAAGCACTGTTATGGGGGACACAAAGAAAGGTTTGCTCCATTTTGACTACAACAAAATACCCTATGTTTCACTCTTCTCCTTTATATATCCTTACATGTACTGATGACAAGACAGCAACCTTAGCTTGTTTTCATCCCTAACAAGTAACAACAGGGCAGTTCGAAGCAAGTGTGGATATTGTTGATAGTTTTAAAAGATCAATAAAGAAATTCATTGTAACTTTGTAAGCTCCACGCACAATATTCTTCGTTCATGAGTATGGTTTTGATGATTTGGTACTCTATAAAGCAGCAGCTTCAAATTTTACAGGAAAGACATTGCAGAAAAACAAGGAATTTTTTTTGTTCTGGCTTCTAACAAGCTATTTTATTAGCAATTCTTAGAGTAATCAGCTAGCTCGCAACCAACATCACAATAGTAAGCATGGGAAGAGGAAGAAAAGTTCTTAATACCGTGTGACCTTTCAAATTCCATACTGTAAGAGTATGATCTTCCAAACAGATCATTAGTATAAGTAACAGAGTACTAGATTCCAATACTGTTCTGATTTTAGAAGTCTGACAATTAATCATTAAAACACAAATATCACTACTGAAGGCATACTATCAGGTAAATTTGAACTTGTTTATTGCTCAATATCGTGGAAAACAACCAGCTTAGCCTCCAATACATGAAATGAACCAAGGACGCTGAAACTTTATATAAAACATCGGTATATATACAAACAAAAAGAGCAAGAACTCCAAAGTAAACAATCAATGTCATCCAAAAAACATGAAAAGCAATCCACAGAAACCTTAATCAAAGACTTGAACTGATAGTATATATGGTTATTAAAGGTCAACAACAAATTGCAGAACAAAACCATGTATCCTTTGAATGTAAAAGAAGGGACTAAATACTCACAAACCAGCAAAACCACTTCAATTCAAGTCCACGAATTATCAAAGGCGGCGGAGGTGATCGCCTGAGAGAACTCCTGATAATTGATACAACCATCACCATCAGTATCAGCCTCCTTGATCATACCAGTGAGCTCCTCAGCAGTCAAAGCATGCCCGAGCTTCGCCATCGAATGGGCGAGCTCGGCCGCAGTGATCAATCCATTGCCATCTCTATCAAACATCTTAAATAACTGCTTAAGCTGTTCTTCACTGTAAGGGCATTTTGTTGGAATAAGATCAGGGGATACCAGAGAAATAAATTCTGAAAATTCAATCATCCCATTGTTATTCTTATCAGCTGCTTGAATTAGGGTTTCTAGCTGATCTTCGCTAGGTTTCAACCCTAATGATCGCAACAATGACCCTAACTCTAATTGAGTCAATTTTCCATCGTTGTTTCGATCAAATGTTCGAAAAATTTCCCTCAATTCTGCAATTTGTTCGTCGTCTAGCTTCACTCCTTCCTTATCACTACTCATTTTCTCCCTCCTTCCCCTTAAAATTTCTACTCAAAATTGATCAAATTTTCCCAGAATTCTTGAAATTTCCAATGCGATTGATGAAACCCAGATAACAAAATTCAATACTTTGACCTAGAATTGAGTAAATTCCAAAAAAGTCGGTGATTTGGGGAAATTTCGGATCACAAAAACAGAGTTAGAGAGAGAAAATTAGGGAATTACGGATCTAGAGGCAAAAATTGGGGGAAAAAAAAAAGAAGGTGACGGATGTTTTTCAGAAATCAAAAATTGGAATTGAATGCAATTCGGTGGTAAGTCAACGACAATTGCTACACTATTAATTGAAACTGATTCTGATGAACCCTAATTTTTCAACTAACTTAGAAAAAAAAAACTAAAAAACAATTCCGATTAATAATGTTGATATTTCTTCTCAATCATTAAGAAGTGTAGTAGATAATGTTAATTGACAAATTTAATCGAAGAATTTTGATTATTATAGTGAACAAATTATATTATCTATTTGAATATTTGGTTTATGTGAAAGTATGACAGAGTCAAAAGAGGTATGAATTTTCAAATAAAATAAGAGGTTGGTGATTGGTTAATGGAGTGTGTATGTATCCCGTTAATTACGTTTGAAAAGATTATTTAAATGGGGTTTATTTTTCCAAACATTAATTGAAAAATAAAAATATGTGAATGCCAACCATTATTGACAGTTCAAGAGCTTCAACCATTAATAAGTAAGGCTCATTAAGGGTCCCCTAAAAAATTAGTTTTAATAAGGGTAGGCTCAAGCACTCGATTGGGTCGGATTGTGCTCGTTCCTACTGTAGTCGGAGTACGGCACAAAAATTAATGGGCGTTGTGTGTTCATCGAAATCACAAACATGTCTCGACTTTAAATGTAACACTTTTCCATGAGTTAAGGTGACAAGTAGGAACTAAACTTTTTTATTTTTCACCTTTTGGGGCCTAAACCTTTTTTTTTCATCACCTTTTAGGACCTAGGAAAGAATTTTAGTGAGATAACTATGGTTAAACGGTGGGGCCCACCAATTGTTTTAGGTTCTAATTTATTTGCAGTGAAAATTTTTTGTTAGTTTCCCCCCAAAAAAATAATGCGTGTTAACTCTAAAAATAAAATAAAATAAATAAAAATAAGGCGTCATTTCAACTCCCACTCCTCATCATCAACATCCATCTATTTGTTCTCCCTTTTAAAAAAAATTAAAGCTCCGAAGGTGATTTTGGTGCAGATTATTAGCGGATTTAAAGCATCTTAGCAATTATGGGTATTCATGAATTATAATGCTAAAATTGATGCTTAGTGTTGTTAGTGTGTTTATTTTATTTGTTTGTTCTTGTTTTTTAGAATTTCGAATTTTTTTGTGTTGAATGGTGAATATAGAATTATTTTTCCAAGTATATAAACTTAAGGCTAAGCGTTGAATTGGGGTAAATTGAGAATTTTTTTTCCTAATTATTTAAATTTCGAATCTTGCAAGTAGGGGTGAAAGTTCGGTTTGCGGTGTGGTTTATAGTTCAAACCAAAACCAAATTACATTAATTCGGTTTTGGGATTTTTCAAACCATACCGCACCATATTACTATTGAAACCGAACCAAACCACACCGTTTTAATTCGGTTTTTCAAAAGAAAAGCGAACCACATCGAAATTTTTCATCCTCTTCCTTTTTGCTCCATCTAACTGGTCATTCGCTCCAACATCGCGCACATTGGTTGACATTCTAGGACATAAAAAAACACAAGTTTTATTATTCTTTGGCTTTATATATGTAGGGTAGAAATTATATATATAGGCTAGGCTATAATTTGGATATGGGCCATAATTCGGTTTGAATTTCGGTCGGTTTTGGTTTTTCAAATCTTAAAACTGTTTAGGGTAAAAATACCCTTGACATGTGGACCAATGCACTGCGACACGTGTCCCTAAGCTCAGCGCTCAATGAGCCAATTAGAGCATGACACGTGTCATTCTAAGGGGAAAACAGGCTTTAAGCCCATAATTCTAAAAACCGTAAAACGGTGGGTATCCCATCTACTTAGTTTAAATAACCTAAAAGGGCACCTGTCCCAAAGGACTATAAATACTGATCATTTACATCAATTAAAAGGGGAACTCAATTGAATACACATTCAATCTACACAAATCAGAGAGTGAAAACACTCAGATTTTGAGGTTGTCTCAGACAGTCGGATGATCACTCCTCTCCTAAGAGGAGCCTAATTCCCCTTTACATTCCGCACTTTTTACATCCGAACACGTTCTAACTTGATCGTCGGAGGCGGAACTCCCACCCCCGGGAGTCTCCGTTGTTTTGCAGGTATAGGCGCGTGATCCAGTCTTGGTGTTGTAACTCTCCCGCAGGACGCATAAAAAACCCCGAAACAAAAACCATATTAATTCGGTTTGGGATTCCTCAAACCGCACTTAACCACATTAGAAAAAGAAAAAAAAAAAAAAAAAACGCACCACATTTCTAATTCTGTTTGATTTGCGGTTTGGTTCGGTTTTAAACCGCATTTGTTTCACCCTTACTTTCAGCTAGGGGTGTTCGCGGTGCAGTTTGGATCCTAAACTGCATCAAACCGCAAAATTGTGGTTTGTAATTTTTTCAAACCGCACTTCTAAAAAAACCGCACCAAACCGCATCGCAAAATGTGGTTTGGTGCGGTGCGGTTTGCGGTTTAACCATACTTTTTTAAAATTATAATTATTCTTTTTAAAACAAAACTTTTATTTTATTTTATAATTATTAATTTATAATTCAAATATTAATTTTTTTTTTAATTAACTAATAGTCAAAGATTAGCTCATATATTTCAGTTCTTTTATATTTTTTTTAAAGAAAATATAGTATAAAAATCGCAAATCGCATTAAAGTGCGGGTAGCGGTGCGATTTGGTCTAAATATTTTTTGAAAAACCGCACCAAACCGCAAGCCGCAGTTTGGTCATTTTTAAAAATCGCACCGCAATATTCAAACCGCAAACTGCACTCTGTACAGCCCTACTTTCAGCAATCCCCATAGAGTCAGCTTCCTTCAATTGATAGAAATTTTTTGTTTTGGAGTTTTGGATTGTGGTTTGCTATTTTAGTTTTAGGAAGAAAATTGGAAAATAGAAGGCTATTTTTTAAAATTTATGTGTTTTTTTTTTTTTTTTTTAAGTTTGATGTTAACGATCTTATTTTGATTTGGAATTACTAAACTTTTTTTTTAACTCTAAATAATGCTTAGATTGGTTAGTAAGCTTTTTCAAATTAAATTGCCTCATAATCAACCACAAGTTCCAAAAGGATGAAAAAAAAAAATATTTCAGGTTTTATAAGGTGAAAAGTAAAAAAGGTGAAAAAAAAAAAAGGTTCATGTCCCATAAGGTGAAAAGGTAAAAAAAGTAACCATGAAAGTAAACATATTGCTCCATGAGAATTAGAAGTTGGAGATTTTGTACAATTTCAATCGAGAATTATCGATATTCGACAAAACATGTTTACAAAAAATAGATTAAAGTTAAGCGCACTAATAGTCTAATGCAAAAAAAAGATACACATCAAAACATAAAGCAGGGGTAGACCAAAATAAGAAGTAGAGAGTACTAGTTTAAACATATTCATAGAACATAATCCTAAACTTTGAATCAAATTCTTTTTTAACAATGAGTTTCATGACACGAATTCCTATTGACATTTAGATATGTATATTCTCACTACTTTTTAATAGAGAGTCACAAGCAATAAATGATCCTGAGTCTAAATTTAATCTCTCTCATAATTGTATTTAGTGTACATACCACCCTAAATACTTTAACCAACTAAGTAAGATGACAACAACATATATTCACATGAGTATATATGTATTTAACCAACTAAGTAAGATGACATTGGTGCTAGTTATATTTTTTGAAGCATTGGTGCTAATTATATACTATGTATTTTTTTCTTCAAATTTCATTAATATGCATTCCTTAAATAATTTTCTTTTGACTATTTCAATTATTAATTGTAAATGATGTGGTTCATATATATCCTTAAATGTAAATTATTTTTATATCTAATTATAGTATTTATATACAATATAATGCAACAGAACATAAATTACAAGAAAGCTTAATTCTAACCGTGCATCGCACGGGATAACCTATTTGATAGGCGTGTCGTGTACCTAACAAAAATAAGTTAACAAGACCACTACTATGTAGATAGACAAGTAAAGATCGAATCCCAATGGACTATGGTTTGACTAATTAGACAGACTCAAATAAATACTAAGCAAGTAACCAAAGTAAAAGTGAGAATTAATAACTAAAAATAATTAAAACGGTTAAATCTAAGTAATATGACAAATCAATTGCTAAAAACATCCAAGATCAAGCATCACCACAAATACAATTAACGCAATAGTCGTTCTACCCCTAATCATATAATTCAATTGATTAATGAGGAAAAGTAATCCCTAAATAGTATCAATGGTCTCTCCTGAGTTATCAATGGCTTCTCTAATCACAATCAAGCCTACTTCCGTGCAATCATGTAAATTAAAGACTTTGAGCACATTACTCTAACTTCCTAATCATCCATTCAACTACTCTTGTGATGAACTTCGAACCCTTAATTGATTCATTCAAACCCGTTAAAACTCAACTCCCGTTGTGATAAAAACAATGGATTAATAACAATACTAATTATCCCTAATCTAGTATTGGCAGGAGCACAATCAATTAAACATATCAATTGCAATTATCATTAGAGAATTTAAAGAATTAAATCATGCATTATTCATATTCGGGTTCCACTAGATCTTGGAATAAATAAACTACTTAAACATAGTAATGAAAACAATAACAAGAATTAAGAAAAACATAATTATCAATCAAAGGAATTAAAGAGAATAAGAAAATACCGAATCTTGAATTATTAGTGATAAACGAAGAATCTTGAGTGCATAATCTTGAATTACAATGAAAATAAAGTCTACAGAGAAAAATAGGGCTCTAAGATGATAGACAATGAAATTATAATGCTAAAGAGTATTTATAATAAAGCTAAAAGATAGGATAAAATAAGGAAAGAAATCGGATCAAAATCGATCAAATTCGTCTAGGCATGGGCGTGCCACCCAGGACATGTCCGTGCCTAATGTCGGAAACAATTTTTTTTCAACTTCCCTGGACGTGTCTAATTCTGACATGGGCGTGTCTCGCTGGAATGGCACCCACAGTAGCAACATCACTCGTAAAGGCACAGGCGTATCACATCTTGGCATGGGCGTGTCTCGCTGGGCCAACTCCACTCGACGAGGCATGGGCATGCCTCAAATAAAACTTCAAATTCAACTTTCTGCTTCTTCAAAACACAATGACATGCCCATGCCCTGTGTGACATGGGCGTGTTTGGCTGGGATTTGGCTTCTTTTCGCTTCAACATCAAACATTAGCCTTTAAAATGAATTGCAAGCAATGATCAAGATCCGTAACTTTGTAAATCCTTTGAATAGCCTCGTTAATCCTGAAATACATCAAAAACAACAAAACTACCCATAAAAGCATCTAATGACCACAACCAAACCAAATCAAGTCAAAATAAGGATTTTTTTCCAAACTAAGCTTTATTAGCAAAGTATTTTGCAAAGTGGACTCGTGGCAAAACTATTTACCAAACTAAGCTTCCAGGGTAAAACGTTGTCTCGTACAGCGTTTTATACCCTATTCAACGAGTAAAACGCTGTCTGAGACTGCGTTTTACATGTTGACTTTTTTTTTTTTTTAAAAAAAAATTCGTCTTTTTAATTTTAAAATAAAAAAAATATAACTAAAAACGCTGACCGAGTCAGCATTTTACATGTTAACCTTTTATTTTTCTTTTTTAAATTCTTAATTTGACTGAGTCAGTGTTTTTAGTTAATTTTTTTTAAAAAAAAATTCTTAATTTCAGATTTTATAATTAAAATATAAAAAAATTATGAATTTTTTTTTAAAAAAAAGTCAACATGTAAAACGTTGTCTCAGACGTCGTTTTACTCGTTGAATATTTTTTTTTAAAAAAAAACCAGGGTATAAAACGTTGTCCGAGACAGCGTTTTACCTTGGAAGCTTAGTTTGGTAAATAGTTTTGCCACGAGTCCACTTTGCAAAATATTTTGTTAATAAAGCTTAGTTTGGAAAAAAGTCCCCAAAATAAGCTATGAACGACTAATCTAGACTTAAAAACTTCCTAAAAAGACCCTAAAAATATGCACAAGACACGACTTATCATAGTTCATAGAACATAATCCTAAACTTTGGATCAAATTCCTTTTTAACAATGAGTTTCATGACATGAATTCCTATTGACATTTAAATACGTATATTCTCACTTCTTTTCAAGAGAGAGTCACAAGCAATAAATGATACTGAGACTAAACTTAATCTGTCTCATAATTATATTTAATATATATACCACCCTAAATACTTTAACCAACTAAGTAAGATGACAACCACGTATATTTTTTTTTTTGAAGGGAGATGACAACAACATATATTCACATGATTATATGATGTTTCATGAACAATAAATACTCTGTAAAAATCACTTAATCAATCACTTTTTCTCAAAATGAATGTTCCAAAAATTGAGATTTAAACTTTTTATGTCTAGTATGAACTATTCAATTAATCAATTGATACGTCCCTCTTTCTCAAAATGGTTGTTCCCAAACACGTTCTTCAAACTTTTTTAGAACCAAAGTCATTGTTTATCCTACCAACAATGTACACACATTAAATGCCTTAAATCTTTTTAAAGCCAAAATCAAAATTTAGTGAGACTACGGACTACCTATACTCTATTCATACCCATTTATTTAATAAATCCATTAGTTTTTTTTTAATTCATTGAAAATGTGTTCTATTCACCTGATTTTTACTTATCGGAACTTACCTTATCTTATCCGAACTTATTAAAATTTATTTTAGTTGTAATTTGTACTTGGCTAATCCTTATTAAAACTTATTTTTCCTGATCTGAAAAATTTATTATTCTTGAAATAAGTGAAAATAAAATGAACAGAACAGACCCTTAGTATGAATCAAAACTCAATCCATTTCATATAATTTAGGAAAAAAATATTATCATTATGTGTCAAATTTCAAAATTATGTCAAATTTACAATAACACCAAAAAAGCTATACATATCAAGTCATATCCTACCATCCTAGTCATAAACCATTCATCAATCCAGACATGATCCTCTCCATTTAATTTTTATTTAGAAATTGGAAACTTTAGCTACGAAGTAATTTTTTGAAAATTACGTAAAAAAGAAGGAATGTTCGGAATGAAAAAGTTGAAAATTTTGGGAATTATGAAATAATTTATTTGTTTTTATTTCTGGTTTGTGTGGTTGTGTAACTCAAAAAAATGACTGAAAATAAAGTTTGTGCAATTAAGCAATAAAATTTTGATTCAAAAAAAAAAAAGAAAAAAAAAAGCAATAAAATTTCACCATCATACACCATAAGTCCATAACATATATCATATATTCATATCCTACTATCCTACCATACATTTAAGGTAATAATAATAATTAAATTTTACGCATTATTCACGTCCAGCTATATTATTGTATATACCCAGCTAATGTGACTACGTAATTATAGCCTAATTATCTAAGATATATAGGTGATTTGAGTCTAAAATTATGCATATTATACACATATATAAATATATGTTCATGAACTTAATCTTTTGAAGTTCATTAAAAAAAAAAAAAAAATACATTCATCTCTAACCTTATGCTATATTAGCCAAGAAAAGTTTTTAATCAATGGAGTATGGTAAGCTCCAACCCACAGATTCGGCTAGATTTTCAGAAAACATACCGCGAATCCAAACTCAAACCCGAAAAGACATCCTGGTAAAGTATGCCCTTGTTACACTCCTTGTTTTATTTTTCCTAGTAATGTTATTAGCATCATTAACAATTATCATAATTGCTGTGATGAAACACAAACACTACTACAAAACCACCCTTATCATTCCATCATCATTATCAAATAATAATTCTAGTTTCTCCCCCGGATTAAGTCTAACATCAATGTCGTCCTCATCTTCAATGTCGCTCATACGGATATGTGCCATGACACGGTATCCGGACCTATGTGTTAACTCTCTAGGAGAGTACATGATAAACACACAATTGGTGGAGGAAAGTAACAACCACGACGGTGTTGAGGCGACGATTAGGCATGGTAAGGTGAAGGAGAATGTGGTGGTGCAAGTGTCATTAAATGTTACAATGGAGAGATTAAGAAAAGGTTTAGATTACTTAATGATGGAAATGAAGGGTTTAGATGAAATTAAGGAGTCATTTCAATGGTCAGCTCATGATGATTGTGTAGGGTTCATACAAGATTCGGTGGACTTGCTCACACGTACTCGCCCCCTCCTAATGAAGACGTTATCATCAACATCTAATTATAAAGATAACAATAAGGTAATTAAATTTAATAATTGTTATAATTAATTGAGTAAGTAATTACGTATTAATGTTTGTATAATTTTGGTGAAACTGAATTCTCATTATGTGTTGTTTGATTATATAGTTTTAGACTTCTAGTATTACAATTTTGATGGTTAGTAGTTTGTCTTGTATGATATTAGGGCAATGGTGTAGCTTGGTAAGGGTGCTAGCTAGCATGCTACTGAGATTGATAGTTAAAGTCTTTTGTGTACTTGTGTGGAATGCCGGAGTTAAGTGTTACATCGTCTTAAATTCTAGAGTTTTTAAATCTTGGCGATAGATATATAGTCCAGCCTCTATTAATACTCGTCATAATGAATATTTTAAGATTTTCCTTATAATTTCAACTAAAGTATGGAGTATTATTTCTTTGTGAGGGAATAACAAAGTTTTATTGTTAAAAAAAAAAGAAAATCTTGGCGATAGATATATAATCCGGCCTCTATTAATACTCGTCATACTGAATATATTGCTACTTTACAAGAATAAACTATTAACATAAAATCTTCATTCATTCCAATAATATTACAACATGTACTAGTGAAAAATTTAAGAAAGCCGGTAAAAAAGACTCCTCATGCATGTTCATGGTAAGGCTTAAAAAATAAGGGTATATTATAGTGCATCCATACGGATCACTGTGAAGTAATTTGAAATTCCTTATAAAAGCTTTTCCAAAATGAAACATTACAATAATTGTAAAGTTTTCTCTGAAAAGCAAATATTGTACTCGTAACATTTTTAAATGGGTGGCCTGCTTTTATTTTTACATTTGTATTTCTAATGGTTTCTTTCGTGACTCTTTTTTTAAGATTCGGAGAGAATATAATCATACATGGCTAATTTATTATTAATGTTGAAAAAAAGCTGATCAACAAAGTTAAAGAATAACTAACATGTTCATCCATTATTGATGATGAAAAAAAACCATTTGACAACTCTTAATTTTTGGAACAATGCACATATAACTAAGGAAATAATCGAATCCCAATGCTAATTTTTTCTTCACTTTCTTTCCATAAATATGAAGTTTTAAAAATTAGGTTTGCCAATAATTACTCTTTAAAAAAAATGGTATATTGAATTATTTGAGTAATAATTAGCTTGTGATATTTTCTTTGGAAATAAAAAATAGAGTCAAAGCTATATGGTTGACTTGATGACGTGGATGGCAACTGTATGCTCAAACCAAGACACGTGTACGGAGGGATTTGAGGAAGCAGGTGGAGCAGTAAAACATCAGACGGCTCAGATCATTCAAGAGTTGTGGCAAATAGTAAGCAACCACTTGGATCTTTCAAGCATGATAATAAACTGCGACGTCGTTTCAGGTAGAAGGTTAATGGGCCTTGAGCCCACTAATATGGATCACAAAAATCTGGGTGACCCAAAATGGATATCAAAAAAGGACAAGAAGTTGTTGGGCTCACATCTAGCAAACATTCAGCCCAATGTAACAGTTTCTCATCATGGTATTGGGCCTAATGTTACTGTTAGGTCCATTAAGGAGGCCATTGAAATGGCTCCCAAGAACAGTAGTATTCCATTCATTATTCATGTTAAGGCAGGAAGGTAATAGGCTATGTTTGATTTATTATAAGATCAAATTTTGTCGATTTTGTCCATTGGTTGATGTAATTTTTTTTATATTGTTTTTTTTTCGGCACAGGTATCAAGAGGCGAACTTAACGGTGGGAAAATCTAAAACCAATCTATGGTTTATAGGGGCTGGTAAAGGCAAGACGATTATCACGGGTAATAAAAGCGTTAGAACAAATAATATAACAACTATAAAGACTGCCACTTTTGGTAAATATACTTTATATCCCTTGTTTTCTTAATGTACAGAACAACTTCAATTGATTGTTGAATTATAGAACTCACCATGACACCATCATTCTTACGTAAAATTATGACATGTTCTATTGTTTATCTCGATTATAAACTTGAACTTACCCTGTGTAGGAGTCACGGGTGCGGGTTTTGTGGCTCGTGGTATAACCTTTGAGAGCACAGCAGGACCACAAAATCACCAAGCTGTAGCACTCTTGGTAAAATCCGAGCACTCGGTGTTTTACGAGTGTGAGATGAAAGGGTATCAAGACACCTTGTACATACATTCAAATCGCCAATTTTACCGAAACTGTGACATATACGGCACAATAGACTTCATATTTGGAAAGGCACAAGCAGTGTTTCAAAATTGCACCATATACACTCGTAAGCCTATGGAACAACAAACGAATACGATAATTGCCCATAAACGACCGTGCTCTAACATATGTGCTGGGATATCCATCCACGAATGTCAAATTCGTGCTGCCCCGGACTTGGAGCCTGTGAAATCAAACTACACCACGTACTTGGGACGTCCTTGGAACGAAGGGGCAACTACGGTCTATATGTTATCGTACATAGGTGATCATATTGATCCACAAGGGTGGATACCTTGGAATTCAACAACTACACTAGATGATGTATTTTATGGTGAGTTTCAGAACTATGGTCCAGGAGCTAATATTAGTCAGAGGGTGATATCACCTGGAGTACATGCTAACATGTCAGTTGTCGAGGCAGCGCGATTCACTGTCGATCGATTTGTGGATGGATCGTCATGGATTGGGCATACAAAAGTGCCATTTGAGGCAGGATTAGGGTATTAGAAAAGATGGAGCAATCACCAGATTAGTTTAGAATGTGTTTTGGATGTTTAACTTAGGCAGAATTATTAGTTTGTGAAAAAAAATATTATTAGTACAGTTAATTTTGTAAAATCCAATTGTAAATTATTTGGATACGGATAGCTTCAGAATTATAGCTGAAAAATTAATAAATATTAATCTGATTCCATAATTACGAACTTCATACTGTAATTTTTTCCATTTCTCTTTGTAAGAAAATGCAGCATTTCTGGAAAGGAAAAAAATGAAGAGGATGCAAATAACTGGTAAATATATGCAGAGCTTAGTTAAATTAACATATGACCATACAAACGATACAAAACCTCGCTGTAAAACTGGAGTAGAATAAACACCACAAACTTCACTTGACAATCTATACATCTAAAACTGCTACTAAACCAACCAAAAACATCAAATTACAGTGGGGCATGATGAAACTTCACCAGCTACAAATTTCAGATGAAAAGTCGCATTACAAGATCAAACCCTTGTCACTCACTGGTGACCACTGGCTCTTGGGGAACCAGACTCAGATACCTGAGAATAGCCAGCTGCTGTGTTTCTTCCTTTCTCCTCCTCGGCCATCTTCTCCCTTGTTTTCTGACCAACATCCTCGGCGGCCTTGGCAACCCTGCTAAAAGCACCAGTAACCCAAGAAGTCCCTGTCAAAATGTAGCGATTCTTCATAATGGCAGATCCAGCATTACTAACAGTCTGCTCTGCAGCTGTGAATGCAGATTTCGTTTTTTCTGAGACTTGGAATTTCTGGTCAACTTCCTTCATCTTGTCATTTACCAAGCTTGTGCCCATGTTAAACTTCTCACTCAAGCCAATTTTTTGGTCCAGAGATGCAACTGTAGCGGAAGCAGTAGATGTAAAGCGATGCTTTTCATCGAACCCCCTTGCCTGGTTCAGTGCATCTTTCCCCAGGACAAAGCCCTTGGCAAGCATAGTAGTGACAACATCCTCAGCCTTCTGCACTGGGGACCCAACAGCGCCAGTGTTCTCAGTGGCCTAATAGATTAAAATATTGTCATATCCTCCTATTCAACAACATACGTATAGCACCTGGTTTAAAACACAATGGATAAATCATACCGTTGGTGGTGCTGATGCAGTAGCTGGCGGCTTGTAATCCGGTGCAAGAGCTATTGTTACTGATTGGTCAACTATGGTTGCACCCTGGAAAGTGAAGTAGAATTTCAAATTAGGACTGTACAGACCCAACTATAAGACAATACACCTCCCCACCCCTCTCCTGTCAACCATAACAGCAGAAGAAAAGAAGAGGCAGCAAGAAGGATGGCATTGTAGCACGTATATTCGTATAACCACTTCAATTTGTGAGATTTCTACCATAATAGATCTATATTCTCCCCCTCCATCCCAATGGCCCACACTCCTCCCCCCCCCCCCCCCACAGAAGTTGTGAGGGAGTCAGGGTAGCATGTAGGGTTATAAAGAGCAATCAGTGAGGTTCAAGACCCTACATCTTGTACCAAGGTCAAGACAGGTTTAAAAAATCCCTTGCACAATACAAAACAGCTCAATAAAGAGATCTCAAAGTCAGTTTCTGTATCAGTGGGATCCCAGTGCAGTGCTATTGTATCTCAGTAAATTTTTCCGTTAATTATGAAATGAAAATTCAGTAACAAGGATAATCCCATTGTAAACATTAAATTTGGCCCCCACAAATTCAAGCCAAAACCAGGATTTCAACTATACCTACATAAAACATTATTTTATTCCCAACTTTCAGATCATAATTAGCTATAAATAAAAACAATAATACCTTACAGATTCCATGGGAGAAGAAAGTACACGACAAATAAAACATCACAATATAGCAAAAGGTCTTTACTCAAAAAAGTGTACTTACAGAAAGAAGAACAGCGGTTTCTGCACCTTGAGCATCCTTAAAAGTGACATATGCAGTTTGAGATCGCTCATTCTCACTGGAGGTAAGACAACAGCAAATTTGGAAAAATTGAAATCACATAACTTAGAAAGTAAAGATACAGTACTACATTATCATACCGAGTATAAGGTTTACTTAATTGATTATTATAGGAAACTTCTAAAATCCTCTTTCTAGGGAACCATATCGAGAAGAAACAGAATCAACAAGATAAGCCACACATAATAACCAACCTTTGCAACTCAATATGTTCAATTTCACCAGAAAATGAGAAGAACTCTTTTATGTCTTGTTCTGATGCTCCAAGGGAGACATTGCACACTTTCACACTTTTTATCTGCAAAGATATAGTTTATTCAGCAAAATGCAATGTCGAATGGGTCACATGGTCAGTGTCTCCTAAGCCCTTGTGTAGAGACAAGGTGCAAAAGACCTCAGAATATAACATAATAGTTATTAAGAATGTACACTGAGAATTAACTTATCAAATGTGTGACGAAAAATATAACGAAATACACAGATATCTACATAAGAACACTGTCTTCTTTTATATGGTTTTTTTTAAAAACTAACAAACTAGTCCACCTGGCTCATGCATGTGAGAAGAGACCGCTTAGAGGAAATACACAGATACCTACAAAAGAACGCATGGAAGTGGTCTGAAAATTAAATGACAAAAGGCAAAAAATAATAGACCCCAACGACAATTGGCTACTTAATTAGTTAAAATGATACAGCAAAGAGAAATGGCACCAAATTAAATCAACATCATTTACATCCTAATTAGATCGTCAAAATGACACTTTTGATCCTTAACATCGATGAAATGACAAGATGCATGATTTGAGTTCAAATGACAAACACTGCCACACTGGCTATTGATGACATGCTCGCTAAGGTTAATCTGAAGATGTCAATTTCCTTCTTCGTAAATTTATAATCGAGTAACGGCTTAACACTCAAGCGACCAATTCATTACCTCTTGGACTCACAGGAAAACAACTACTACGCTGTAATGACGTTCAGATTCTCAACATAGTAAATAAAAAAACTGAAAAATAGAATCAAGTTGCCTCATTTCCATTCCCTTGATGTGATCTGCACTTTGCAAGCTAGGTCATCTATTCCCACAGGTCACAACAAGTTAACAACCTTTTTTTTGGCTATATTGCTAACAAATACAAAGTAAATCATCACTTAAATTCCATACATATATTTTTACATCACTACATAATACTACATATTTACAGATTTGCTCGATTAATTAAGAAATGAAATAGCCAAAAAATCCAACAAATCAATACTAAAACTAATTTCTCTAATTACCATTTCAAACCCTAAACACCAGAATCAAATCCAAGCAAAATAAAATAAATAACTTGAACACACATATCAATAGGGAAGAACATATAAAAATTAATTCAAACGCATAAATTAAGACAAAAAATATGATTAATTAGCAATCAAACAAGAAAAAAACAATCACGAAATGATCAAATCAACTAATATTACAAATTAATTTGTTAAACTGAAATTAAATTGAAACGCATAAATTACATAGAAATGCGATCAATTAAAAAGAAATAGAGAGAGAAAACGCACCGACATGGAGAGATCGATCGAAGAGAGGAGAGAGAAAATGAAGAAGAAATTGATTGACTTTGATTGAATTAGGTTTTTGCTGGAATAAGAAGGAATGAGAAATGTGAGACAGGATTATTTGGAGGGAGAGTTTTTTTGGGCGATGGTGGTGAGGAGGTTAAGTTAACGTTGCCGTCACGTATATTTATCACTTTCACGCTTTTCGCCCCTTTTTAATTAAAACGGCTTAAGTTAAGCATTTGTATTATGGGAGTTACTAATTGAGGGTCGGCTATATTATTGTCCTTTACGACTGTTTTACAAACCCAAATTTGGTGTTCCTTCCCAAAAAAAATACTCGTAAAAAAAAAAAGAAGGTATTCTTATAATTCATTTATTTTGTTGCACACATTCAAAAAATATTTTAAAAATAAAAATAAATAAATAAGATCTCCTATAATAGTCCTAAAAAAAAAAATCTCTTATAGTAAGGAGGGAAACATCAAGCAAATATAGGTAGAGATATAGGTTTTTTTTTTTTTTTTTTTTTTTTTTTTTTGCAAAATGAAAACATTAGGTAGTACTTTATATCAAATCAAGATCTACCAAAGTCATAAGACTTTGAGGGAACAGTCCCAACTCCCAAACAAACAAACTCATAACAACCTCTAGAACTCCATCTTGCGACTAAATGAGTTAGAGTGTTTCCCACCCGTTTTACATGAGAAAAAAACATAAAGCATATAAAAAGAGGAGTTGCGGTCTTGTGTTTTTTTAATCATGAATTTACTCTGGACCCTGTTTGGCAATTAGTTGTTAGCTGTTAACTCTCTTGACTAGTTGTAAATTGTTTACATTATTTGTCTATGTAAAAGTGTTTGATAAATAGCTATAAGCTATTAGTTGTTTTAGTAAAACCAAAAAACTAAAAAGCTCTTTCAAAATCTCTTTATATAGCTTTTGAAATGACCAAACAACTCTTTTTGTCCTAAAAACTCTTAACTAAACACCTATTTAGTCAGGCTCATGACATTTTTTTTTTGAAAAGTAAGATACATGAAGGAGATTAGGTACGTCTTCTCGCAAGACCGTGATCTAATCTATCAAGGAGTAAAAAATAAGAAAATTTACTATCTAAAATCCGGATCTAAATCTTGATGAATCGGAGTAGAATAGCCGAGAGAGGCAACATAATCTACTGCCCGATTCCCTTCCCGATAGATATGTCTTGCCTAAAAGCTCGAGAAAGAATCCAAAATAGCCTTGACATCTGCCATAAGAAGATGAAGTTTCCATAGACAGCTGAAATGACCCTCCAAAATATTAATAACTGTTAAATTATCTTCAATAAAAATATCGGAAATATTATATTCCCTAGTAAGAAAGTGTCCATTGTGAAGGGCAATAGCTTCTGCAAGGAAGGCCAGACAAGAGCCTAAATTATAAGTACGATTGGCTACATGATTACCTAAGTTGTCTCAATTGACCACACTTGCGGTAGCAGAATTCTAATTAGCCGAGTCATCAAAATTAAGTTTACAAAAACCTAATGAAGGAGGAGCCCAAGAGATGACGGGAGGGGGGTAGGAGGAGGTGGCGGAGATGATGAAATAGTAGGACTATGTATGACATCAAGAAGTGAGCGAGATTTCCATTCTTTAAACAAAGAGAAAGCTCGTATAAAAACACTATGAATATTAGTAGAAGAATTCTTAAAAATAATTGCATTAGGATGTTTCCAAATACTCCAAAACAAGATAGCTATCTTAGGAAGGAATCTAGATGAAGTGACTTTAAGAAAGCGAAATAAAATCGTGTATCTGAGTAATCTGGGGGAGGATACCAAGCCACTGACGGACGGAGGAAGAAGACCAAAGTTCCACAGAAAAGGAACAAGAAAAGAATAAGTGATCCTGGTATTCAAGGTGATTATTACAAATAGCACAAAAACTAGGGACATCAATATGACGGGAAGATAAAGTATGACAGGTAGGGAGACTATTAAGGAGGATTTGCCAAAGGAAAATCTGAATTTTTGGGGGAATATCCAATTTTTAAATCTAGCTAAATTCCCATTTTGACGAAGGATGAACATGGGAGTGAGCAAGCCAAGTCACAGATTTTACAGTGAATTGACCATCTCTAGAAAGATCCCAATAGGGTTCATCTGAAACAGGGGAGGAGGGAAGGGGGATTCCTCGAATAATTTGAACTATAGTTTGAGGAAGAACCGTAAGAAGAAGAGGGACATCCCAAGTTAGGCTCATGTCATGCCTAGTGGGTCATTAACCTTACCCAATTACCCAACCTAGTCCCAAACGTCTCAAGTCATTCTACGTAAAAAATCACGAACTATATAATCAAATTAAAGCGATCCGATAAGTAATTTAGAAGTTTAATTTGGCGGGTGGATGGGGGTTTCGTTGACAAACAACACAACTCTTGATGCGAACCAGCCACGCCCACGCATTTGACAGAAAGAAAGCACAACCAAACAGACCAAAACTCAAGAAGAAAGAGAAAATCAACAAGATCAAACCACAAATTTTATTTCATTTCTTGGTACGAAGACAGCGAAGTTGCGGCAACTTCCTAATTTGTCTCCACCCTATCCGCACACAAACACACTTTTCAGCACTTCATCGTCAACCCCAAATTATTCCAACCCTTCCATTTCTTCAATCAATTTTGCAGAAATCGACAAGAAGATGAGTTTTGCCGATTTAGAGGCAGGTAGACCGTTGCCTTCTATACGAAGGCAGCAGCAGCAACAAGATCCTTCTCAGGCTGTTGCAGCGGGTATTTTTAAGATTAACACGGCCGTGTCTTCTTTTCAACGTCTTGTTAATACCCTTGGTACTCCAAAAGATACCCTTGATCTTCGCGATCGATTGTGAGTTTGCCCTATTTAGGTTTTTTTTTTTTTAATTTGACTTTGTGGGGTTAGGGTTTTTGGGTGATTGGGGGTGTTAATTGAATTGCTTATGTTTGTTTAGGGTTGGGATTATTTTGATTCATCTATTTGGGTTGTTTGATGGGATGAATTTAGCTGAATTATCACAATTTGTAGTTGTTGATTGAATAAAATTGAAATTGTTGAAATGGGTTATAATTGGGATGCATTGTGGCTTTGAATTATGAATTTGATTTTCTAGGAAGAGAACTATTTTTGATGGTTTATAAAAATAATAACAATAACAAATTGTGGAGGATAGGAGGATTTGGCAGTAACACTGCTCCCCCATCCCCATTTCCTACCAAAAAAGAGAATAGGAATTGCTAGGTATTGTAGTCTATTGGGTTTGACACATTTCTAGTTTGTCGAGCTAGAGCAAACGGGTCATTCCCTGAACTTGATTCATTCATAGGACATGATATTGGATCCTAATCCCTAAATCTGGCCAGCTTGTTGTAAATGGCGTTTACTAGCTGATTTGTACTCTATTAGAGTACTATTTTATGGATCAGCTTCTTGCAATTCGGGTATTATAATAATTATTTTCACAAACCAAAGATTAATGAATTGTATACATTTGGGAGTTTAGGGACTCTCGGAGTCAGAGGATTTTCATTATCTGGTGGATTGTGTTGTTGATAAAGGGAATCACCAAGTGCTACGAAGGATAATGTTTCAGTTTACTATCATAGTGCTAAATTGTAGTGGTTTCATACAGTTGATTAGTCTCCGGATAGCACATAACTAAAATGTTAGTTGCTAGGATAAATTGTTTACTTGATGCTTTTCATGCCACTCTATCCTAAATCAGTTGAAATTCGTTTACTCACAAGAAAGTTGCAACCAATTTGAGATGGTAAGAAAGTGTTGCTAATGAGTAAAGTGAATTGCATATATTCTTTGTATATTCCTGTATTCATTTTATTTATTCTGTTATTGTATTTATTTGTCTAGGCTTTTTTTACCTTATTTTTTCTCCATTGATCCCAATATAATTCCATTTTCATTAGTTTTGACATGGCAATACAATATTCCTATACACAGTAGTTTATATATCTCCTGTGACCTCTCATTAAGAATTACATTATATGCAGACATAAGACGAGGTTACATATTGGGCAGTTGGTAAAAGAAACCTCAGCAAAGCTTAAGGAAGCCAGTGAAACTGATCAGCGCTTTGAAGTCGGTGTAAGTGCACATTTATGTTTTCATATAGCGATATTTACTTCCCTGAAATCCGTTGCCTATTTGCACCATCCTGTATATATGTTTTTTTTTTCCCCCTCTTTTCTCTACTGTTGTTTTCAACATCTTTAGCTTTCAATGAATTTAGTCCTTTGTATGCTAGCTGCTGCTTCTCTTATACTTGGAATTTTCTTTACTTAACTGCAGGCTAGCAAAAAAATTGCTGATGCTAAACTTGCTAGAGATTTCCAAACAGTTCTTAAAGAATTCCAGAAGGCACAACGACTTGCAGCACAGAGGGAAACTGCATATTCTCCCTTTGTTCCAAAAGAAGTTTCAGCTTCTGGGTAATTCATATCTGCTCACTTATATCTCTTTTGTTGTTTTATCTGCTTAAGATTCAAGTGTGAGTTGTGGAAGCTAATCATGGAATTTTATTGAGAGGAAGCCATTATTCCCTTAATATGTCTTTGATTGCCGATATGGATGATTGGACATTGAGTGATTTGAGTCTATTTTTTTTTTGTGTTTAATTTTGTTTCAAGTTCCTAGTGATATGATAATGTATGTTGAAGGAAATAGTCATGAAATGTGTACTTAATGTGTTGATCCACTATTTTCGAAATTGGGGTGGGAGAATTAGTGGGTAACTTTATTACTGGAAAGTAGCCTGTGTGTTCCCTTGACATGTCAGATAGTTTAATTGTACAAGAAAAGGTTTTATGGGCCTTTTAGGAATAACTAACACAGATTAAACACTGACTACCTCTCCCATTCTGTCTCTCTCTTATGACCTTAGAAGATTTTAAATCCCTCCTCAAGCTCTATCAATCTCCCCAATTCCTCAACTTTTTTACTTTGGTTTTTCACTCTCCTTGTAAAATTAAAGTTTGCAGGGTAATGAAACAAAACTTTTCAAGTTGAATTAGTCCACATATTCCATATTTGGGATGGTGCAAGTGAGTTGGAAAAATCGTGCAGGGGTAGCTGGATTGGGAATAGAGTTTGGGTCTTTGAATTTGAGCAATAGGACTTTTATGTCTATTGGTTCTGGTTGGTGTCACAGAGATCTCCTAAGAATGGAGTGAGGTGAATGCAGGTCTTATATGAGGAATAAAGGAATGTCAAGTCATATTTGTCATTCGATCTCAGGAGGAGGTGTTCACATGTTTCTTAAACACTTAATTAATCAAATCAATAAAGCGTGTCAAGGTTGGTCCCCGGTATATGGTTCCTCCGAATTCTCTTTCAACTTTTTGGCTGAATAAGGGTTCTTGAGATCCAATCTTGATTCTTTCCTTTAAATTCTACTTGTGTTATGTGAAAAGTGTAGCTTGGGAACTTGATTTGAGATGGAGTGAAATATTTTTCTTATGTATGATGGGAACGAATTGAAACTAAATGTTTTTGCGTATCTTGAACTAGCTTTGGAGTTCTACTCAACTAACTTGATATCCCATGATAAATTCTCATGATTTCTTCTTAATTATGGATAACTAGTTTGGCCATCTTGTTGAAAAGCTATGTAGTTATGTATAAGTTCTTACCCATTATGCTGGCTCTAGGAATGAGTAATTGAGTATGGAAGTCTTGGTCCTTGTACAAAGTTCTCAGTAGTCACTTGATGTAACATTCAAAGTTATGAGACAATCTATCCTAGGACTTCAAAACTTAGTATTGTGTTTACATTTTTAGTTTTGGGCCAATATTAGTATTGTGTTTCTGATCCGGGATAATGAGTAAGGCATTTATCTGCGACCAGGGCTGGCTTGAAAGTGTCAGGGTGTTTTGTGGTTGGGGTGTGAGCCAGTGAAGAGGTAGAGAGATAATGGATTACTTGTATTAGACACAAGGAATGGAATAAAATAGCCTTTCTCCTCTTTAAAGTCTAACGAAACAAAATGGGAATGGAGGATGTTAAGTTAATAATTTCCTTTCCTTTGCCTTTCTTGAAACAAAAGATTACTTTAACAGTGCAATATTACTCACTTTTTAATTTTTTTATTACAATTTCAAGAGTTAAGTGGTGTATTTATATTAGGAAATTTTGACTTTTACCACCTCAAAAAAACGACTTATTGGCTTTTACCACCTACATAATTTAAAGTTTTATTTTACCACCACATAAAAAAAATAAAGTTGGCTTTTCCCATGACGGAAAAGTGATGTGGGGCCCACTTTTTTCTATTTCCCTCCAAATTAAATGCTCTAAACACGATTTCCCTCTCTCTCTTCATTACCCTCACCTTCCCTATTCAATTCCTTTCACTTTCTCACCTTCCTCCCATTATTTTTTCTGAATTTCTCACCTCTCTCCTTAGATTTTTCATCTCTCTGTAAAATTGAAACCCTAAATTTCTCACCTCTCTCCTTTAATTTGTCATCTGGTAGTTGAAGAAGAGGTGGCACCACAATAGCGCAACAACTCAGCACGAGTTCGTCATCTTCAATAGGGAAGGGACCAAAAGCTTGTTCCAATTCAACACAATTATCATTCCCTAGCCCTAATTTTTATAACCAATTACTATTTCGAAAACCCCCAAATTAATTTTTAGTAAGATGAACCCTAATTTTTAAACTCTAATTTTTGGGGTCAATTCATTAAGTGATAATCAGAATTTCATTCGAACATAACATTTGGAAGAAATTACGACATCAATTGCTACAAATAAACCTAAGAATTCATGATGTGTGTTGCGAATTAAGTGAGATGCATACCTATATCCAATTTCTCTTCAGCTGACCCTTTTTCAACACAAATCTGGACGAATTGATGGGATTATTAGGCTTGAGCAAATTTGAGAATTTGGGGAGAAATTCGGCAAATTCGATGTTCATTCAACGTTAATTTTTTGAGAAATGAAGAAGTTAGGTTTATATAAAGAGGCCGGGAATCGTGATAGATTGGGGGAAAATTTAAAAAGTAGCCATTACTGTGGGCCCCATATCACTTTTCTGTCACCGGAGTTGGGTTTTGGTGGGAAAAGCCAACTTTGTTTTTTTTTTTTATTTTTTTTTTATTTTTTATGTGGTGGTAAAATAAAACTTTAAATTATGTAGGTGGTAAAAGCCAATAAGTTGAGGTGGTAAAAGTCAAAATTTCCTTCATATTATAGTAATTTTTACTCTTTCAAATTAGGTTGATATCATCGTAATAAATTCTCTGAGCTAATGTTTTGTAGTTAAAATGATATGTCTGCTGTGTAAGTTGGTGCAGTGCTATGTCTTTTGAATGTGTATTTGATTATCTTGTATTAGGTGCAGGTCTAGTGGAAATGATGAAGAGATTAGCTCATTTCAAAGGCAGGAGCAGCAGTCCCTTTTATTGGAGTCTAGAAGGTGAGTGATGGTTCTCTAGAATGACTGTTGGTTTAACCTCTATTATGTTTTCTGTTTCTATATTTGAAGATTATCAAAGAAAAGTTACTACCTAATTATGACCTGATGGAAGTTGGTGTCAGATTTAGGGTCTTAAGATTTTAACATAACACATTCCTCCCTCGTCCATGAAGTATAATGGGGAAAAGAGACTGTACACCTTATCTTTGTCCTGCCTGGAGGCCCAGGACTAGTGCTCCAATATCCAAACACTTATAGAGAACACATACAGCGTGAGGAGTGAGGTGGAGGAGATTATTGTCAATGGCAGCTTAGTTAACATAGTTGATCCTTGTGCATGGTTCACTCCCAGTCTTCCCTAGATGTGACCGGAAAATAAAGACATCTCATTTAAATTGTAACTATTTTCTTTGATTTTTCCTTTTTTTTTTTGAAACAAATTTTTCCTTTTGAAACTGTACTTAAATGGTTTTTACTTGAAATGTCGCGGATCTTCAGAAAATAGTGTTTAATCTGTAGAGGAATATTGTTGTCATGACTGGAGCCGTCAACAATTTATATTTTGAAGTATGATGCTTTAGCCAATTGTTATATTATTGCTGTTTTTTTAAGTTTGCATAGATATTCTTTACCCATTATGTTTTAAGTTTCATAAGACAGATGCTTTAAGTTATAGCTGCTTTGAATGCTGTGTGGTCAGAAAGTTCATTAAATGTCTGTGTCAGAAATGTGTTCTTGTATCTATCCATCACCAATTCGTTTGGCTTCCTTGATATTTTACAGACAGGAGGTAGTGCATCTGGATAATGAGCTGGTTTTTAATGAGGCTATTATAGAAGAGAGAGAGCACGGGATTCAGGAAATCCAACAGCAGATCGGTGAAGTGAATGAAATTTTTAAAGATTTGGCAGTGCTTGTTCATGATCAGGGTGTTATGATCGGTGAGAATTTAAATTAAAAAAAAAGTAGTTACATTTCCTTTATAATATTATTACTTGTTCAAGTGAAGTATCTCCTGCATCACTTGTGAACCATGGTAACAATTTCTAAATCTTTCAGATGATATCAGTTCAAACATTGAAGGTTCCCATGCTGCAACTACGCAAGGAACTACCCAACTTCTAAAAGCTTCAAAGTACCAAAAATCTAGTTCTTCTTTGGTAAGCTGCAACTTGAGCTAACTAATTTTATTTAAAATGTAATCAATACTTAGGCTATCATTTGTTTTTCATTATGTGAGTGGCAAGGATTAGCGTTATGATCAATAGGGAGATTGGAACAAGTCGATTGGTAGATTGATGCTCTTGTGTTTGTATTATGTTATTCACTAAATAAAAATGTAGGAAATTAGGAATGTTGATCTCTCAACTCTCTAGATGACGTCAATATTGCTACATGGATTCCATAGGGGTCTGCAATTGAAATAATTGTCCCTTGATTGTGTTATTGGTAAATTGGGTTTTAAAAATTAACCTTCTTGATGTGTAACATGCATTCACTTTATATTTACTCACAACTTTGTAATATACTTAGCTCTAAATAGACTTTTGTTGCCGAGTCCTTGATTGCTGTCTTTTGTGGAATGAACATCATTCTTGATAAATTTTTGGATGATTAGCACTATATTTTTCTTAATTCTTGACTGTTGTTATCTTTCTAGCTAATTTGACGACGAAGTTCTTCTGAATCTGCAGGTTTGTTTGCTCTTGGTGATATTTGGAATCATCCTTCTCATTGTGGTCATAATTGTTGTGTTTTGAAGAGGAAAACACCTTCAAATCTAGTGTTGAATTTCAAGCAACCAAATTTATGCCCGCACCATGTCTTTGAACCAACGGTGCTGCAAGAATGTTCAGGAGTGTTAAGGTTGCTCTGTGCTGGTAAATAAAAGATTGACCTAATACTTGTACAGTCTCCTAAAATATTATCTTGTCCGTTTCTGACCTGTGTCAATGGATGCTATTACTTAATAATATGTACAAATGAATAGTATATCCATATATGTATGTGTCTTTTTTTTCTTGGTTTGAAAAATATGCTGAAAATGGGTTTAGAATTTTTGGAATCATGGCTCTTTGCCTCTAGGCATCAAACAGCTTGTTTCGGTTTTTAAAGATGACTACAGAGGAAATCGAAGAGATTAGAGCTATGTATATTGTTTCTTTTATATCCATTTCCGCGTAATTTTAAGCTCATAATACTTGCCTGAAGGATATTGGCACTTTGGCATGAGGGGAGTTGTAGTTACAAAACAGGTTTCGCCAGATATTTTGCTAATTCTACATTTTCCATAAAATAGTTTTTTCGTTAATTGGGTGTTGTGAGGGGCTATCATGTTTCCACATCAGTCCTCTTGTCCAATAGGAATATTGGTCGGACTCCTGCTAAAAATACACATGTGGTATATTACGTATCAAATCTTGTAGCCCCCTAAACCAGATATTTGTCTAATTTACTCAATTATCAATAAAATCAAAGGCATGTTGTCTTCGTTGGTCACTTTGAACTTGTTCAGTACACCTCTCATCTCACGACTTCATTCTTATTTACTTCGTATGTATATAAGATCAATCAAAATTTGATCATATTAGACCCTTAGATCACTAAAAAAAATTGAGTTTAAATCAATTAAAATATTGTGCTTAAATTTAAAAAAAATTGAACTAAAATTGAACTTGTCGTATGATGTGACAGATCACATATAAGACTATAATTGGCATTAAATATCGTACTTAGCATAGACATTAACATAAGGATAAGAAATCAAAAGGCAAACAGTGTAAGAAAAGATAGACATTACATTAGGGAGGTAATGATTATGAAATTAAAAAAGCATTGAAAAAAGAAACAAAAATATCCAATAATTTTTTTTTTAAATAAAGGGAAAAAAAGAAGAAAAAAGAAGGGAAAAAACAACCCAAAAAGCAGTGTAATTGCATCCCCATTCCCCCCCATTGGTGACTCTTTCGATACCGCCTGCTGCCAGTCTCTTCAAATTCTCACTTTCTCTCTCCTCTTTATCACAACAATTACAATTCAATCTTCAACCCCTTCAAATTCCCAATTCCAATTACTATTACTTTTTAGAACCTTAAACCCTAATTATCCCCACAAAAATCTCATCTATTTCGATTTTTTTTTAAATTTGGCGAATTGTATATAGAAATCAGTGAATTGTTCATCTAATGGGAGAATCGTCGTTGACGGCGGCTATGGCGGCGAGTAACGGTAATAGTAACGGCAGTAGTAGTGTAAATTCGCCGGCGCCGTTTCTGAGCAAGACGTATGATATGGTGGATGATCCTTCAACTGATTCTGTGGTTTCATGGAGTTGTAATGGTAACAGTTTTGTTGTTTGGAATGTTCCTGAGTTTGCTAAAGATCTTTTGCCTAAGTTTTTCAAGCATAACAATTTCTCCAGCTTCGTTCGTCAGCTTAATACTTATGTTAGTTCTCTTTTCTCTTATTTAATTCTTAGTTTTTAATTATTGTTGGTATTGATTATGATTGAAATTGTTGAATTTGATTATGTTTTTGGGATTGAATTTTGAATGGGAGAAGATTTGAATGGTTTTTGAATCTGTGACTAGGTTATTGAATTTGTTTGGTGTTTTTAGATCATGTTTGGCGCTGTTTTAAAGTGATTTTTTGGAGGTGAAGTAAGTTTGGATAAGGTTTAATAAGTTCGAATAAGGGTTACCGGAGTTTAATCTGCCATGTGCAGTACGATTAAGTTCGTTTGGATAAGTTTAGGTAAGTGAATTACAGGTGAAAAGAACATATTTGGAATAACTTTTTGTGAATTAGGAGGTTTCTGGGTTTAGGGTTAAGGAATAAAGTTATGATCAAGGATCTTTTGGGATTTCTGGGTTAAGGACGGTCTCTTCAATGGTGGGTTACTACCAGCTTTATCGTGTGTAATAAGCCCCTGAGGTAGGGTTGAGGACCGCTGTGGCTTTTGGGTGGGTACTGTGGGTCTGTGGCATTGCTTACTAGTCTTAATCGAGTGTCTTCGATGATGCATACTTACTGCGTGGATGGTGTCTTGATTCGTTAGCATACTTTCTGTTCATTATATATCTCGTCTTAATTCGAATCCATTGTCCTCTTTAAGCACAATATAGTTTCACAAGCAACTACCTGATTAACATTTTTTGAAACAAGTACCTTGTATGATTATATTGTCTAATAAACACTACTATCTAACTGTTATCACGAGTTCAATATTTTAAACATTACATACGAGCATATGACCTATAATTCAGCCATACTAGTGTAGAAATAAAGTGAGAAAAAGAGGGAACCGCTTTTTGGATGTATTGGATAATTCATTTGTTGCTTATTAATGTCTCAATATTGTGTGTTTTAAGTGTTGCAACAGTTCATAGAATTTGGATATCTTTATGCTTTAAGTAATAGTGGCTGCATGCTTCCATGGGTAATGAGGGGCAGGTGCTCGTCTTTTCAAACACTCTATACTGTGATTTATGATAACTCCTTGTAGAATCTAGTAGAATTTATGAATTCTAGGTCTTTTCTCATGGATAAAAGATAAGTGAGTTGGTCTGGGATTAATTTAGCTGTATAAAAAAACTATGAGTAATATGGGGACTTCTTTTTTTACAAAAAGAATAATGCAGTTGGAACAGGGGACTATTATACATTAGACTTGAGACATAATAGAGTTGTTTATTTGCATACAGAACTGTGTATGTGCTCAGGATACATACATGCCAATTCCAGTACTCCTGGCAGGATAAGAAAGAGGTTACTGGACTACTGGAGTGAAAGCTTATTGTTGCATTTGATATTAGGAGCTTAGAATTTCTTTCAAGTCTTTCTATTTTGCCTGTTATGTCAGAGGGCTTTTTTTGCTGAAGTCTTACAGACCATATAGTAAATAATTGGAGAAACTGCTGTAACCATATGGAGTATGTATGCGTGCCTTGTGTGTGTATTTTTTGGAGTGTAATTCATAAGAATTTGCAAAGGTCTTATACGAGTATATGCTTTTTTGGAAGCACTGAATGACGTAGACAAGCACTGAATTTGCAAAGGTCTTATACGAGTATATGTGCAATTAACCTTATATATTTTACTTAAATATTGTATGCATAGTGCGTCAAATTATCATCTGGCCGTAAGATTGCAACCTTTCATTTTTTTTTCCTGCTCTAACCAGGGTTTTAGGAAAGTTGATCCAGACCGCTGGGAATTTGCTAATGAGGGATTTTTAAGAGGTCAGAAACACTTGTTGAAGAGTATCACCAGGCGCAAACCAGTTAATGCTCATCCACAGCAGTCTTCAATTCAAAACACTTCTGTTAAATCATGTGTTGAGGTAGGTAAGTTTGGCCTTGAAGAAGAAGTTGAAAGGCTTAAAAGGGACAAGAATGTTCTTATGCAAGAACTTGTTAGGCTGAGGCAACAACAGCAAACAACAGATAACCAGTTACAGAGTGTTGGGCAGCGCGTTCAAGGCATGGAGGAGAGGCAGCAGCAGATGATGTCGTTTCTCGCCAAAGCTATGCAGAGGCCAGGCTTCTTGGCCCAAATAGTGCAGCAGCAAAATGAAAGCAACAGACATGTCACAGGAGGCAATAAAAAGAGGAGACTTCCTAATCATGATGAAGAAGGTGGTGGAACAGAAAGTATGCGCACTGACTACTCTGATGGTCAGGTTGTTAAATATCAGCCTTTGATAAACGAAGCTGCTAAGTCAATGGTTAGAGAAATCTTGAAATTAAATGGACCCCTGCTTGACCAGTCGCCCAAGGACCCTAATAATTTTTTGCTTGATCATGTGCCTTCTGCGTCCAGTGTAGTAGACTGTGGCAGCTCCTCTACTCGAACCTCAGGAGTGATTCTTTCTGAAGTAGCACAGTGTTCTAAGCAGTCCCTCATTCCTGAAGAAACAGGGTTCTCCAGCAATACTACTTTAAATTCAGAGATGCATTCTTCTTGCCCTGTGGGAAGTGACCCAGCTAAAGAAGTTCGAATCCCAGAAATTGATTTGTCAAGTTCTCAAGAAGATGCATTGATGTCAGAGTTAAACCAAGTGCTTCATCCTGAGAGCAGTCTTAAACTTCCTGATCTAACTTTCTCCGTGACCCAGAATCCTGATGTTGGTTTTACAGATTCATTGTCAACGGTTCAAAATGGGACATTACCAAAAGATTCAGAGGAATATTCTCCCAGTCCTGATCTGGATGTTTGTCTTCCTGGAAGTAATGATGTATTCTGGGAGCAATTTTTCCCCATGAGCCCATTGGGTGAAAATATAGAAGAGGTTGATTCTAGTACACCAGAGGCCGGCATTACTAGAGAGCTTGAAATAGGCGAAGATAAGGGATGGGAGAAACTGCACCATATGAATCATCTAACTGATCAAATGGGTCTTCTTACAGCAGAGATGGGAAGGATTTGACCTCAGCAGCCAACCTTGTATATCTCAAGTCATTTTGAGGTAATTGTACAGCTCACAAATTTTGCTTGTCATTTTGTTTCTTCTAGACTTGTTGATTTAGTCAGGCAATGTTCTAAAGCTCCTGTCCCAGTGTCAATAGTTATGAATATTACAAAGATGTGAATCATATTTTAGCTTTGTAAATCCTTAGCTGTATGATGTGACTTCTGCAGTATGGAGTCTATTGCCTGATAGGAGGCTAGGACAATTTTTTGTTACTGAACCTCGAAGAATCTATTTGCTTACAACAAGTCCTTTTCAGGTTTGTGGTTCATGCTGTTGGCTGAGAAAGATATCATATACCCAAAGCTCTGGTGATGGGAAGCGTGAAAGGGATTTAGTTATTTTTGAAGTTGTATTAATAAGTTTCTTTTTTTTGTTCTTGTCAAATTACCCTTTCAAATCCACATGCATCCTTTCATCTTTTTATGAGATAATGCAATGAATATATCCTGATGTATGTTGAGAGTGAGGATATTTGGTTGTAAAATATGATGCAGCAAGGTTGTCCATTAGTCATTCTCATACCTTTATAAAATTATTAGGTGTTCTATCCATTTCACTTCCTAAATTTGGCAAAGGATCTATACTTCTATGGTCGCCTTTGAAGAGCTGTTGATTTGATGCTATTTTTGAGGTATGGCTCAGCTTTCTTAGTCTGCCAAAAATAGAAGATTGGCCTAGCCTGTTGAATTAACCCTGGCAGTTCAGGCTGTGGTGTTGTCCTAACCTCACTAGAGGTTTGTAGAGGGATGGGTAGCATAGGTTGTTAGAGCAGGTGGGGTTTGCTGCGTCATGTCAAGCACTTGGAATTGGTGCCAATCTGAAGCTGTGTTATGATAGTAGGAAGTTTTGTGGTTTATGACTTTTGAGTGCCTTGGATCACTTTCCTAAGATGGCAGAAATAATGTTGCAAATGGGTTTATTCACGTTCTGCAGTCTGCACTCACTCAAAATACGAAGTACACTCCTTAGTGTCAGTTTTAAGGCCTAGCAAGGCATTTCTGAAAATGTGACCCAGTTGGAGTTGGCTTCTTGATGGATTATTGTTGTGAGTTAACATAAAAGATATTTGAGTAGTTTTGTTACTGCTTGTTCTATTCTGTACAATGATTCAATGTGGTTGGGTTTTTTTAGCAGTTTATACAGGAATGCATTGTAAAAGTGCAGACAGGAGGTAATTGGTAATGCTTTCGTTATGAGCACGTTTCGTTTGAGTAGAAGAGAGATACATGAAATACGATTGCCAGTTAGGCTTTTATCATATTACCCAATGTGTATACAATATACTCCGTACAAAGTCTACAAACAGTCGAACACCCAAGGTACTCTGTAATCCAAACCCCTGCCATGACTGCTCATACTGGATTAAGTAGACCTTCAGCATAAAACAATGGTTAACCAAACTAGGGTTAGACATCTTTGATGTTTACAGGTATGGAGTCTAATATATAATGACCAAGTCTCCCGGTTCGAAAAAGATTTAGTAATTTAACTGCAACTTTGTGCTCAATATCCTCCTCTGGCCCTGTTGGCAATTTAAAAGCCTTTTTCAAAACGTCAAACTCTGCTTTTATAAGCCTTAACAGTTCCTCCTCTTCTCGTAAATTACCTCTGAAGGATGTAACAGCTTCAAACAGACTTCTACGAACTGAGAGTACTACTGAATCCTGTACACATCAAAACATATGTCATATAATGCTTAATGCTCTAATTGGGGTCAAACCTAAGTTGCTAATCTTGGGTACATGTTCAGGTAAGATTCGGCTACTTAACGAAAATATTTTGTTTTCCAAAATAAAGTGCTAAGTGCCCATTCTCATGTTACAGTATCAAGGATCTAAAACACATAATGAGTCAGAGTAACACAAGAAGCTGGCTCTTTTAAAGCTTAGACAATAACAGTCTAACAGAATCATGCTATGAGACCAAAGACCTAATACATGCCCAACTTTATTGGTCAGTGATGAAGTTGAGTTGCCTGACAGCCTGAGTATGGTCAGTGATGAAGTTGAGTTACCTGAGTATGGTCCGTGATGATTTCTGGTGTTGAGGTTTTGTTTTCAAAGCTACCAATGCGTGGCAAAACATTGTCATTGTTTCCTGAATTGGGAAGCTCAAAGGTAGATAGCTTCTCCCATTTCTGGTACTCATGGTTAAAGTTTAGGACAGAGAGAAAATATTGTGCAAGTGCTTTTTCGCCTGCTAAATTGTCTCTGAGAGCTCCTGCAACACATCAAAGGGACAAGGATGTAAAAATTACCTCCTTACAGTACAAGTCTCAAGTTAAGAGGATTGGTTCATCAATAATTAACTGAAAGCGTCTAATGCATACAATGTGAAACAATGTTCCGTCCACCATTTCTTTGTTCGGGTAGTTACTAGTTAGACTAGATTCTGTCTAATCAAGACCATACCATGTATTCAAATTCCTTTACTTGTTCCCCTTAAGCTTCATGTCAACCTTACCTGTTAAAGCTAACTTGGCGCAGACTTCCACATCTATCAGCTGTGGTGGTAGAATACCGGGGGTATCCAAGATATAAATGCTAGGATGGCTAGCAACCTGGAAACACAATAGATCAGTTCATCATGACACAAACTGATTACAGAAGAATTATAATGTTGAAGTCATCGGAGTGTTCGACAACCTTCAAGCTGCAAATACCCTTCGTCTCACCGGGAATAGGGCTGACAACTGCATGCTTCAGATTCCCTTTCTCTGTTGCAAGGAGAAAGATGTGAAAAATCAGAACAATTGACAAAGGAGACAAGAAGATAACGCTGCACAACTAAAGTAGATAGATTTAAACCTGCAGCACTAATCCGCCCGATGTGATGCAAGGAATTTGCAAGAGCCGACTTCCCAACATTGGGGATACCAACCAACATCATTGTTATGGTATGCCTTTCAGGCTCCGCTTTCTTCAAAGCTCTCACTTGGCTTTGTAAAAAACCTAGGAACTGGTTAACACAAATCAATATACTAGTATAAGTGATACTAGTTTCTTGCGTCATCTTTGCAAACCTTCCCTTTGAAAGTACATGCAACATGCTTCTTTTGATTCAATGATTTATGCACTTTGTATGATTAATTTTACCTCTTGAATGTTATCTTTATTATGTGAATTCACACCGAATGTCGGAAAGCTTTCTCGTTCGAAATACCTTGTCCATTCCTGAAGTTGGAAGAAACAACATGAGTATATAAGCAAACACATATCACATTCTACTACAATAATATGTCCGGACGAGGAAGATCAAATCACCTTGACATTTGAGCGACTAGCAAGATCCACCTTGTTTAAAACTACAATGCGACGTGAAGACGAAGAAGAAGATAGTCTCCTAAGTAGCTCACATTCTGATGACAATGGTATCTACATGAACGTGATATTAGTAATTATAAATGGTCGAAACGGAGAATAATCTTATGAGGACTCTTTATATCACTTAGCTAGATTGGTCACATTATATATAGAATATGGACACTTAGAGGTTGTTTGTTTGTAGGGATAAATGATAGAAAGGGATTATTAATCTCTTGTTTATTTAATGGGAATTGTTCTATCCCATATGAAAGGGATAGGGATAAAAAAAATAGAGTTATTTCTCTATTTTTATAACAAGAGGGCTGGTATAAGGTGTAGGGATTAAAATTGAAAAGTAAAAGACAATTTTACCCTTAATAAAAGGGAAGGAAGAGGAGTGAGGAGAAATGTTAGTAAGGATAGTTAAGTAATTTTACTACTTATCCTAATTTAATTCCCAAATCATACCAAACAATGGATAACATAATTTTTATCCTTATTCCTAGGGTTGTTCAGAGTGCGGTCTAGACCGCACCAAACCGCTATTTTGGAGTTGGGTGCGGTTTGCGGTTAAAAAATTGCGGTGCGGTTTCCGAAAATGACCAAACCGTACTTTTGTGGTTTGGTGCGGTTTTCAAAACATTTTAGACCAAACCGCACAGCAAACTACACTTTGATGTGGTTTGCGGTTTAGATCGTCAAACTGTTACACCAATTTTATACTATTTCTATTAAAAAATATATAAAATAGCTTAAAAATATGAAGTAATTTTTTACTATTAGCTAATTAAAAAGTTAAAAAAAGATTTTAATATTTAAATTATAAATTAATAATCATAAAATAAATATAAAAAGTCCTTTTTTAAAAAAATATTTATAATTTTAAATAAATTGTGGCCAAACGGCAAACCGCACTGCACCAAACTGCATTTTGCGGTGCGGTTGGTTATAAGTGCGGTTTTGTGCGATTTGAAAAAAATGCAAACCGCAAAATTGTGGTTTGGTGCGGTTTGGATTTGGATCCAAACCGCACCGCGAACACCCCTACTTATCCCACCTATTAATTTCCTATCCTTATCCTACCTTCTTATCCTCGTTATTACTATTCTTGTTGCCAAACGCCTTATTAACACTTCATTTTGGACCAAAAATAGGAATTTTAATCGAGTTCTTATTAACACTTCTAATAAGTTGGCATTTCACCAAACAAATTACTCGACAAGATTTGAATAATTAATCGAGTTCGAGTAACATAGATTACGAGAATAACAAACTGTCATTTCATCAAACAAAGTTATACTCATGAACTAAAGAGAAGAAAACAATGAAGCAAAAGTGTAGTGGCATTACCCGAGCATCTCGAAGATCAAGGACAAAATCAACACTAGCAATACGCTGAGAAACAGCATTAGAAGCTGCCGCCATGAAAGGAGTATACAAGCTTTTACCATCTCCCGCCATTTTTCTAACTGTATCACCTACTCGTTTCGCCATCAACAGTAAGCTTTCCTGCTTTGTCATTTTCTTCTTTTTATTTTCCGCAACTTTCTTTCACACTATAAATAAAGCCGTCCAAACAAACCTTATCCAGTTTTAGAGAGAGAAAATTAAATGAATGGTGGAAAATTTTCAATCAAAAAGCTAATAATTTCTTGTTTCTAGGTTGAAGAAGAATGTTAATGGCGGCGGAACCACTGAATTCGATTTCAAAGGGGTTAGGGTTAGGGTTAGGGTTGGGGAAATTGAATTTGAGAGGTAGAAATGGAGTATCGATTAAATTGGGGAGAGGAGAATGCAAATGGAAAGCGAGTATGAATTTGATTACAAATCCTGATGCTTTTCAAGTTGGTCCTTTTCTTGGTAGCTATGGCTTCTTCAATGTTACCAGGTTTTATTAGCTTTTTCTCTCTCCTCTAATTTTCCGCCATTTTTATGCTGCATGATACTTAGCAAAGCTTTGAGTTTATAACAGTTGGAATTGTCTTGCCTTTTCTATTCTGTTATGGTGGTGGTGTGGTGTGGTGCTATGGTTGCTGGCCGAGTCGTGGCCGAGTAATAAAAATATTACTCTAATTGTTTTTGTTACGGAGTATGTGTTTACTAGTACTCCTTCCGTCTCAAATTAACTGGGACACTTGATTTTACTTGGTTTACGATTTCTGTCTTAACTATTACTAATATTTCTAGTTACTTATTAATATAAATTATAATATTTTTTTAACACTAAACGAGCAAGGCCTTTGATTAAATTTACTCCTTAATATGTATTGGAAAGTGAGTATATTGATTTTAAGGTTGATTGAACAAAGTCTGGGATTAATATAATAAAATTGATTTAGCAAGATCCAATAGATGAAGTTTTTTTTTTTTTTTTTTTTTTTTTGGTCAGTTTAAAAACCACCAAAATATTAAAAATCAACTTTGTGGCATTTCAGCTATTCAGGGTTTAAAAGTGGTGTAGATTATGATTATCTGTCAGAGGATGTGGGGAAATTGAGAACTCAAGATGTTGGCGAAGGTGGCGTCAATATCAGGTGTGTTCTGTTATCATCTGTATTACAATCATTATGGTATTATTTATACTTGATCACTGCATTACATGTTGCTTCCTTTGTGCTACTTATTACTTGATTACTCTGAAGTTTGAGGGAGTAATGTTGTCCTTGGCAGTTCTTTGCAGGCTCTATGAAGGAAGAATTACTCAAGGTTCTTTGAGAGGCACTTCTGTTCTTTTTAAGGTACTGTAACAAAAAGGAAGAGAGCTACTAATTGCGTTAATGGTAGTGCATTTGTGTCATTTTATAAATACTATCTCTTGTCAATGTCAATGGTATTGCAACTCTTATTTCTATTGTGGACTTTGTGGTCTCTTTTAGAATTTCTCATTTTTCATTTATTACTATGATTGCGAGTATTGAAAATTCGAAATATAAAAACTCAAACTGCTAGATCTATTTTAGACAATCATCTCATGTCAATGTCCCTGACTCCCTGGTATTACCGTGGACAATGGGTAATTGGTTTGAGGATTTCCTTTCAATAATATTACACACATATGTATTTCTATTATCATTTTTCCAAAAAAAAAAAAAAAAAAAAAAAAAAAAAAACACAAAGGTATACCAAGTGGGGCAGTAATCTTCTCGTTTAAAATACTCTATTTAGTTTCCTTATAGGTGTATAACCTGAAATCTTTACTCTTATTAAATAAATTATGAGGGTAAAAAGGTAGATTTTCTCTGTTTTTAGAGCACAATTCAACTCCACCTCACCTTATTTTCAAGGATTTTCTTGTCAATTTTGTGAGCATATGTTCACCATTTATCGTTCTTTCTTTCAATTTCTTTTATCACTGTGGAATTATGTAAATGTGTTATACTCACCAAGGATTTGGTCTGTGTCAAAGCCTTTGGGTTTAAATCACAGGACCATCTACTTCAAAGTATGCATTGTCATATGACTCATACCAATATAACTAGAGTAACTCATTCATGGACCTGGTTCTGTGTGTTATTAATATTGTTATCATAGGTGAAGTTCCCAAGTATCCGTATTGATTGTCTGTTTGAAAATTGTTTAAGGTATATCCTGGACAAAGGACTGGTGGTGCTGAGGCCGACATGATGGCTGCCAATGAGCTAAGTACTCATGTTTTCCTTCAGGTAAGATGAAGTAGTTATATGGACTTTAAGTCTTTTGAGTTCACTTCAGAGCACTTTGTTTACAAATTCTATGAATTGAGAATTTGAGATATCTATATTTCTTGCAGAGCTGCTCAAATGAAACATGCCAGAATCTCTTAATGTTATTAGGTGGATTTGAGACAACTACTGGTGAGCAGGTATGTTGTGTTGAGCTTCCCTGTTTCTACTTCGCTTTTGCTTGTCACGAACTAAATATATATATCTGCCTTTTGTAGTGGCTTGCTTTCCGCTATAATGGAAAATACTCTGCAGCAGACTATGCAAAGATTTCCAGTGAAAAATTGACAAAGAATAAGTCTCTTGATCCGCAATCATATTGGAATCCTTTTGAACAAGGGCAAACATTTAAACGCAGAAGATATTTTGTCATTAAGATGCTCCAGGGAATTTTCAATGGCCTGGTCTATATGCATGCCCATGACAGATTACACCAGAGTCTTGGACCAGCTTCTGTTGTTCTCAAGTATGCCGTCTGACATTATCTAACACTGACGAGTACTAGCTCATATTATGTGATTATGTCACTTTGGTAATTTTTCCTGTGCATAATTTCTGAGAAACTTGTCCTGTAATGGCAGTACAATATCTGAAAGGGAAGCACCTTACCTGGTTGCAAAACTTCGAGATTTCGCGTTTTCAGTTGATATAAGGTTTGTTACCTGTTTCTTCTTTTCTTAAATTAGTTCCAATGATTACTCACTCATTCTCTAGATAGATCCGAAAGTTATAACATGTGTGTCAACAACATTACAGATTTACAGCATCCATTCTTGTTTTTTTATCTGATGTTTGCCTGGTAGGAATTCAGAAGAGCGTATATCTAGGTTGAACATTCTTTATTATCATAAACTTGAGCACATAGAACCTCCAACTTTATCATCATAACTTAAGCTCATATTCTTAAACTTGAGCACATACCTTTGATATATTTAATTAGGGCACAAGATGAAAAGAGTGTTAAGAGGTTAATTATTTTGTTAATATGTGTTATGTAAACCCATGATTTAGTTGGATCCATCGTTTTCTCTTTAAATGTAACTTATTTAAAATATGTGTGATGCTTGAGTTACTCTTTTTGATGTAATTAATGGTTTCTTTTTCTCAAGATTGAAGTTTGTATTCTTTCACTCTTAACAACAACAACAAACAAACAAACAAATCCTTAGTCCGAAAATGGTTTGGAAATGGCCAACATGAATCGTCATAAGGAACCGTCCAGAAAATTAAAGAAATTCTTTCATGCTTAATGTAAGAAAATATTCCTTCCGTTCTCAAATCAATTTCCTATAAGATTTAAACACGCATATTAGGAACCTAGTAGGGGCTAGTAGATGCTTAGGTAGATAGTATGGAAATAAGAATAAATAATAATTCAAAGATATTTTACGGGGAAGAGGGCCCGCATGACATGGAATTTAAAGAGAGAGTGAAAAAATAGAGTTAGCGGAGGGGTATGCATCACATAGGTTGAGTGTGTGAAACTTCTGTTTTATACACATTAATGTAAACCCATGATAAGGTTACATCTTTAATTTTCTATTTAATGTAACTATTTTTAAATTTATGCGATAAAATCTGATTGAATTATAAATATATCTAAAGTGAATAATAATGGGGAAGAGGAAGGGAATGTTCCTTATTTAAATGGAAATAAGGGATGGGATCAAGGGTGTGACACGTGGCATAAAAAGTATGTTTTGAATCATTAGTATAAATTTAGATATTGATTGTAATGGGTGCAAGCTTAATGCCTTTTTCCAGCTATTCGTCATTAGAGAAAGGTCCTGGATCTTTGTCTGAAGGACTTTGGAGACGAGCTATTGCAGCTGGTGCATATAATACTATGGAGAAAAGAAACTTTGGGATTGCAGATGACATGTAAGTACGTGAGGATAGTCATGCATGATTTGTTTGAATGTAGCTTAAAAATGATTTTCTGACTGGCATTATGAAAGATTACCTGCATAATTACTTGGAAGTTGTCTTTAAATTCGATATGCAGTTATGAAGCAGGCCTTCTTTTTGCATACTTGGCTTTCGCTCCATTTTGTGAAACTGACATCATGGATAGTCTTTCTTTACAAGTGAGTTGTGCTACTTTAGTTGTAGGCTTGTAGCATTGCAATTTACATATGCTGCTAGCCTGCGGCATCCACCTTTTTAAATTGAATGAGTACTGAATGAAATAAATTAACCCAAATTGCAGAGGCTAGTGGAGAACACTTTTCAGCTTGATCTCCAAGCATTCAGAGAGTATGTCTGCAAACTTACTATCTAAGCTTAATACCATAAGCACACTGCACATTATTAGGTTTTATTTTTTGTAATTATTATTATTTGCATTATATTCTGTATATGATGGTTGTTCTACGACAAATCATGATTAGAGATAATCTGCAACTGTCTGATCACCAACTGGTATCCTTTAAGGACGTAGATTTGTAACTTTTAGGGCATTCCTATAGTAAGTACATGTAGCCTAGTCACATGTTGATTCTCGAAGAGGACATAAAGATTTCACATTCTAGACAGAATGTATGTGATTAGTAAATGTTTTGTCTGTCTTTTGAATTTCCATGGGTTTTCATGGACTTATATGCTGTAACATTGCAGTTTGGTACTGATCCAAATGTGGCTTTGGCCTTTGGGTGAGTTCATGGTAGGCGGTTGTCTGCGATCTCCTATTACGCAGATGACTAAGCTTCTTGCGATTAATGACTGCACTACACTCGTTGTTTTGCAAAATTAAATGTGGGGATATAAAATCTTACTTGGGCATCTAATTAGTAGCAGTTGCCTTCAGCCTAGTGCAACCATAGTAAGGACCCTTCTTCAGTGTTACATATTAACTTCTATGCATTAAACATGCTTTCAGATACTGTTCAGCTGATGATCGCTTGCTAGAGGCTGTCCAATTCTTAGATCTTGGTGATGGTGCTGGATGGGAGCTACTTCAGGTTAGCGGATTACTCTCTTTTACCTGTAATTGTAATTGTCATATATTTTGTTCTGTTAAAAGTCTGTCTGGTGCTGGTCTGATTGCTAATCACTCAACTCACAATTTATCTGTTCTGAACTCAGTTTCTTTTATATGGATTAAACACTTATCTATACTGTTATGTGTTATAGAATCTCTGACAAATAATATGATCATGCTAGATGAAATAACTTCAATTTGCTATTGTGGCAAGTTATAGTTGACTAATGACAACTATCCATTTCCAAGTATTTAATCTATATATTTACGTCGCAGTTAGCATGTTATAAAAGTGATTTATGCATCACTTATTTTTTATTTGCTATCTTCTGAATGCATGCTGGGTCTAATGTCTAAAACTCTAAATTCACCATAACCGTGCTGTTATTTTATGTTCATATCATCGTGTAAATGTGGGTGATGTGCTGTTGCGTTGATCAAATTTGGTAATGTTCACCTTTATATCATTAGTAGTTGAGAGAATAACACATTGTTTGCTTGCCACAAATTTTGAGCAATACTTTATGTTTTTATTACAACAAATATGTCAAGTTAATCACTTTTAATCTTCCCAATTATAGGCGATGCTAAATCCTGATTACAGGAAGCGCCCAGTTGCTGCAGCTGTGCAGAACCATCGTTTTGTCACTGGAGCTCTTTTGTAGAAGGTTGGTGGAGTTTGGTATATTATTGATCTGTGATCAAGCTACAAAGCCTTGTAAACTACTAGATACAACCCCATTACAGTATTTCACGAGTGCTTCCTCTTCTTCCATGCACCTTCCTCATAATGAAATTGAACTGCAACTGTTTTGAAACAGGGACAGACCAATTGGACTTCGACTCTGCCTCACCGGCTATGCTCTTAATATCTTATGCAAGTTTGTAATCATTAACTTTATAGGTGTCTTAACATTCGCAAAGAAATGTGTAGATTTAGACTTTGCATTTTCTTTGCTTTGGACCCCAACAAAGCTTGAATACTATATTGTCCGTGTTGCAAAATTTTAGGGTGGAACATGTGGTTGGATTTCCAATTTTAACAACACCCCAAATTTGACATCTTCTTAATACAACATTGTGGCTTCAGTACTTTTTATTGTTTCATAAGAATTAGGAGCTGCATAAGATTGTAACTTTGTAAGCAGTCTTAGTACATAATTATACATTATACAATACAACATTGGAAGGTTGAAGGGGAATTTTAGACCTAATGCCTCACAACTCACAAACCCCAATTAACCATGCCCTCGTGAAAAACCTCATATGCATAATCTTGCCAGGTCTATAAATGTTCTTTAGTAGCCAAATTTGAAGACTATAATCTATAACTAATACTAAAATAGAAAACGCTGACATTATTTCCTTCTTAAATTGTACACATTTTATGCTCTTATAAAAAAATTTCCCGCGCTAAATGTATTGATGATATCATTTTGATAATTTTTTTTCTTATGTGCTAAATCCTTATGCCTAGAAAATAGTACTATTCTCATTCCCCCCAACTATTGAAAACCCTTATTGCTTTTCTTCTTCCTCAATTACGTTGTTTTGTTGCCTATTTCTTATTTCAATATTTAAATTTCTCTTTTTTTTTTTTTTTTTTTGAATGTGTGTAGTTATTGATTCTTCTGTTTTATAATTTTGATTAATATATATTCATGTAATACAATTGTTTTATTTTTAAAAGTATTTTAATTAATTGAAAGAAATTATGATGCTTTTAAATTTGTAATTATTAATCAATTTGTGTTCTTTTTGTTAAACCGTACATCGTAAGGAAGCTAAACTAGTAATACATTAAATTGGATCACTTTTGCCTTTTTGGACATTTCGGGACCTAGTGTCAAAAACTGAAGTGATGGTAGGGAATCGGGGTCATATAATGTTGTTTGAAATCACATAAAGCTAACAGTTGGTCACATAAAGGCTCGTGGTGGCCTTGAGTGCTTTTTTTTTTTTTTTTTTTTTTTTGAAAGCGGGTGGCCTTGAGTTAATAAAGGGAGGTTCGTACAAAACTGGCTATATTGACACTTCAAAAACAAACTGGACAATGTTAACCACTCAAATGATCCCGTGGGGTGGAAAGTATCATTACCTTTTTTTTTTTCCTTTCTAGACCCAAAATATTCTAAAATTGTCTAAAATTGAAGGTTATAATCCACAATTTTGAACCAACTTTGGGAAATTTTTCTAAAATTAAAGTGAATGTTGTGAATGTCTCTTAAGATCATACAAGTTGGTTTACAACCATAATAAGCCTATCAATAAGTCTCTAAAGCCCCAAAAGAGTGAGTTTGGTTAAATGATGTGGATCATTAACTTGGTATTTCGAGGTATTATTAAGATGTAGGAAATCCTTTATGATATTTAAGATCATAAACAATACCACATACAAATTACATAATTAAGAAGTCACCTCTTATTTTCTTTTTTTTTTTCCTTTTTTTAACAAAATAGTCACTAATTCTTGAAATCACTAGTTCTTCCTTTTTTTTTCTTTTTCTTTTTTTTTCATCTCCTGTAGTTCAAAAAAAAAAAAAAAATTAACAAAATTCTTTTCAAGCAACTTAGGTTCTGTTTGGCAAAACTAGCGGTAGCGGGTAGCTTTTGGCGATCGAGTAGCGGGTAGCTGTTAAAGTAGCAAATAGTGGTCAAATAGTAGCGGGTAGAGGTTAGCTGGCAATGTAACGATTAATAGTATGAGTGTTTTGTAAAACTAGCGGTTGAAATGTTAAAATACAGTAAAATTACATGCATAATATTTATAAAGTAAACAAAATTTGTCAAAAGCTACTTGTTACTTTTCAAACGCTAATATTATTAACGTTTGATAAAAGCTACCTAAACGCTACCTCTACCGCTAAGGCGCTAACCGCTACATAAATCGCTAGCTAATCATACACACTTATTTTTTTCTACTAATGTTTTGATTTAGTCCAAACGCTAACCGCTATCTAAAACGCTACGTCAAATAGCGCCTTTAAGTTACTTAAACTTCAATTGAAGGATAAACCGATAAACCGTAAATGAGCCAAACTCAAAGATGTTAATTACAAGGGATAGACGTACAAAAATTGAAAAGTCAACAAAAACAAAACAGGAGACAAAAACTACTGAAGATCAAAAGAAAAGTATCAAACTCAAAACACAAATCTGGGAATTCTCCAAGGTTAAACCCTCTCCAATCTTCATCATTTCTCTCTCTCTTCAAAAGTTTTTCTTTAAAAAAATCGAAATTTACAAATACTTCTTCTACAGTTAAACGAATCTAATAACCTTAAATTCCTGTCACACTCAATCCCATTTCCTGTCGCAGGTATTTTTCTGTCGAAAATTCAATTCTTGAAGAAGATTTTACTGTTTGTAATTAGAATTTATTCTTTTCCATTGATTATAAAGTATTCGATACTTAATAAAATGTTTAATTGCTTGTTTTTTTGTATTTTAATTAGTTAATTATTACTGTTTTTTTTTTTTTTTTTTTATTTTTTTTTAATTTGGGATAAAATTGATGTTGCTGCCTTGTGATTTGATTCGTATAATCAAAACGATTAGTTTTATATAAGAGAAGGGATGCTGATTTTTTATTTTTTTTAAAAAAATCTATTTATTATTGGTGGTAGATAGTGTGAAGATAACGAAGTAGACGAGATTTGATCCTAGGCTATTACAGGCCGCCCAAAACATTTGTAGTCGTTTGTTTGATTGTCTGCTGTAAATTGGGTTTCAAAATGTGAAAAATGGCTGTAATTTGAAATGTCAAATGGCCAAATTGCTAGATTTTCGAGTATTGATTTGGAAATTGAAGTTGAAAACTTTTAGTTCTAGATTACTTTTATTTAATCACTTCAGTTGCTTTGAAGAGAGTTAATATATAAAGATTGCAAAACTTGGGCTTGATGCGGTCATTGGCTTGAGTCTGGTTATTACTTATTACAACCTTCCTTTTGTAAGTTTTTAAAGGTAGCATTAATATGAATGAGGAAAAGTCTTTAATAGGTAAATCACAAGAAACCATCTATGATACCATCAAAGTTTGTGAATTGTATGAACATAGGGAGATTCATAGATAGCGTCATTTATGTGTTTCCGTTTGACAGATGGATTGTGTCTATAATTTGTGAGAATTGTCTTGGTTTGATGTGCAAAATGTGCAATAGTATATGGCTACGTAAAGTTATTTCCATAGATTCTGAACTAAATTAGCTTGCATATTTCTTCTTGCCAATTCCAGATATTTTGAACTATGGAGATATTTGAAAGCCGAGTGATATTGTCAGGTTGTGGAAATTATTATGTCAGATTTTTTAGCTGAAGTCTCATAGATGGAAGAAGAAACTGTTATCCGTTGTCTCAACATATATCAATATATTACAGGAGATTAATGCTTTAGAGTTCCATGATAGGCCGAAAGATATCCCACCGTCCATTTATTGCATACAGACCAATTGGACCCTCTGATTTAGGAATTCTCCAACAACTTCATGCAGATCTCTTTCCCATCAGGTGGATTATCCTTTCTTTACTTAGTTAGTTTTTATGCAATTATCTGTTTTTTTTTTCCCCTTTTTATGCTTATCTAACTTATGTAAGCTTTGTGCAATAACCTGATTTTGATTCTTTAAGGTATGAGCCTGAGTTCTTTCACAATGTTGTAAATCGCCGTGAAATAATTTCATGGGGAGCTGTTGATCGTAGTAGACCCGGTGCTCAAAGTGATGATCTTATTGGATTTGTCACCATAAAGATCGTTCTAGCAAGAGAAAGTGAGGTATGCCTCTTGGTTTGCGTTGGTGTGAATGTGTGACAACTAGCATGCCAGATATTTGAATGTTGATGCTTCTGTAAAGTTGTAAATGAGTGTATGATTTATGCAGCTGCTTGTCACGTGCTGACTAATCCCCCTAGTCTTAAGCACGCTAGCCCACTAACTTCCCTCCCTTGGATGCTAGTCAAGGCTTTACCCCGAAATGCTTTTAAGCAAGAGTGTGCAGCGAAAGCTAAGAGAATGTGAGAATACAAGAGAATATTAACTTTGAAGGCTTTTTGATTGCTTGAGAAAGAGTGTGTACAAGTGCTTTTTCTGAGATGCCTCCAAATGAAGGCCAAGTCCCCTATTTATGGGGCTCTAAGAATGGTCTAGAACATTCACTAACCTCCTCCAATGGAGGGTTCTAGATCTTAGCCTTTCTAGAGTTTTCTATACATTTCTTGAGTACATTCCTCCTATGTACAAAGTTCCAGAATGCTCTATACAATTCTAGTATTTACAGATTATGCAAGGATAACCTAGGAGGTTCTAGAAGCTTCCGAGTGTATCCCGAGCCTCCTTGAACCTTCTGGAATCTTCCGGGCCCCATCTTCAAAATCCAACACTACCATGAGGTTCATTAGACCCAAAAATGGTGATCCCCCAAGTTTGGGCTCCATCGGACTTTGTTTGGGCCCCAAATGGCCAATTATTGTGTTACTGTCACTTGGGTGTTCACTAGGATTACACCACCTGGGCTAAATAAAGCTCTACAGGGGAAGGTGCTCAACTGGGCACCAAGGGCAAGCCCCTAGGCCACGATTGTTGCTTGCTGCCCAATGACCCTAGTAAGGGGTGGGGATGTGTGGGTCGTGACATGCTGCTCTCTATTTTGGAACTATATTCTTGATTTAATAGGATTGCTTAATGTTGTTGATTGCCTGATATAGTTGGAAATTGAAATCGTATAGTTGATAAGTGTTTATTGAACAACTATTTTTAGTTCAGTTTGATTTGTTAATTCCTACTGATAGTGTGATAGGTAGATGATATATGGCTGATTGGGTGATCAGGCTACCCTATAGGGGTATAGTCCACAAGGAATATCGGATGAGATTTTGTTTCTGATAGATATATCAACAGTAATGGGCAAGCTCAATAATCAGCTACATGGATTCAGGAAAACCTTCTGTTATGTTTTGACATTTGAGCTACACTAGCTATCACTTGTAGTTTGTTATGTAATCAATTAATTTATCCAATGCAATACTGTTTGTAATTGTATGGGGTATATCTATGTAATATATAAAGAGAAGAGGTGTTTTTGGCTGGGAATTTTTGAGTGGACCGTTTTACCCCTCTTCAAAAAATTTATTATAATTAATAAATAGTTAAAATTTATTTAAAGTTTAATCTTAAAAAATAACTTCCATTTTTAACTGGTCCATAAATTTACAATGATAACTCCTTTCAGGGTAGTTATTTAGTGATATAAATTTCACACTTAGTGTTTTAAAAGTTAGTAGTATAATTTAATTAGTAGTACGAATATTTATATTGTGCACATATTTTACAAGAATGTTTAATTTAAATGATAGAAATATATTGAAACTTATTTTATAAATATGTATGATTTAAATGATAAGTAAATACAATGAAATTTATTTAAGACCGTGTAATGCTTAAAAAAAATATTTAAGCCCGTGTAAAAGTAAAATCTAGTCCCTCCGTCCCTAAAAGATCGACCCTTATGGGCAATTTTCACGGGTATTATGAAAGTTAAATAAGTAGTAAAAGTGCATTGAAAATGTGAGTTTACATGGGATTTGCAAAAAAGTAGAGAGAGAAAGTAATAAAGTACATGGAAATACAAAATTTTACATGGGGAAGCTAATTTTGCTCAGATATTGTTGCAAATTGGAGGTTATTATAATGCAAATGGGATGATCATTTTGGGACTAAATTTTGGCCATAAGAGTCGAACTTTTAGGGACGGATGGAGTAGGATTTTTTTTGCATGGTATTCTTTTTTAGTTCATCCCTTAAATGGATTTTTACATCTACTAATCATAAAAAATACGGAGTAATAAATTATATCAATATGCCATTTATGCAAATAAGTAAAGTATACAGATAACTTTATGTACGAAGTATTAAGAGCAGGGAGGATAATTGTGCACACATTGCGTGCGCCTCTAAACTTGTGCTACCTAATGCAGCCTGTTATATCAGGTTGGTAAATTGAAGAGAAAGAGGGATATATGGTAGCCATGGCCTAAACCTTGACTGCTATGCCTTAGTCAAATTTGGACATGATTCTAGGCTTTCGTGTAACTCATTGATAAAAAGGAGAATCCCCACCCACACCCCTGGTGGAGGATTCTTACAGGCTGATAGTGTAGCTCTCTTTCATGAGTTTTGTGAGAATAGGGGCTTTATACAAGTTTGCTGCAAATTTTGGCTCCCAAAATTTCATGAGCTGTGATATACATGTCATGCAGTGGTATATTCATGTAGTATTCTTAAATTGTGTTCCTATGATTTGCAGATCACTGATTTGGTTAAATGTGACTCCACCCAGTCTGATCAAACTCTAGTGTATATTCTCACCCTGGGAGTAGTTGAAGCATACAGGAAATTCGGCATTGGTATGTGCCTGCTCCTCAAGTCCTCACTGCATTTGCTTACTGATTTATTGGCAGATGTAACCACATTTTGCCTTTTTCTTCAGCTTCAGCACTGATCAGAGAGGTCACAAGATATGCTAAAACTATCCCAACATGCCGAGCTGCATATTTACATGTTATATCTTACAATACTCCAGCTATCTATCTGTACAAGAAAATGTCATTCACATGTGTAAGAAGGCTTTATGGGTTCTACCTCATTGAGGGTCAGCACTATGATGCCTATTTGTTTGTGTACTATGTAAATGGTGGCCGATCTCCTTGCTCACCGCTGTAAGTAAAAATCTACCCAAGTATTTCTTCCCTGTTAGTTGACAACATTTTTTCCTTTGACTTGGAGATTTGAGCCGCCAACCCCCCCACCCCCACTCTAAAAAAAAAAAGCCATTTGTTGCGTGTACAATTACATTTTTTATTTTTTTTTAACTAATAGAAGTTTCTCATACCATATAGCTTTATTTGAACTTCTGCCCCATTTGATTTATAGCTTTTGAAATCTATGACCTGAAGCTATCAAATTATGACTATATTTACTCAAGTTGCTGTCTTGTATGATGGCTGATTGAGAAATTTATATACTTCGTATTACTGTTAGTTTCAATTGATTTTCTTTTCAAAGTTGATCTTTGTAGACCATTAAAAAGTGCACTAGGACAGTCGAGGTGCAGTAAGGAGTGCAATAGGGAGAATAAGTTAATGTATGTTAAGGCCCACCAGAATGGATTATATACAGTTAAAAGAGAGATCCTGATTGGGATTAAGTATTTCTTCCCTTTAAAAAAAAAAGAAAAAAATAAAAAAACGTGTGCAAGGTAAATTCTACCCAACCTCCAAATTTTGGGCACCTCTGCTGGGGACTAATTTTATCATCCCTCCTAAAATGAAAATTGAACCTAGGGCTTTGCTATGGAGGAGGGAGAGGCAGTGCTTTCTAGGATTCTCAGATGTTTGCCTTTTTTTTTTTTTCCTTTGTGTCTAGGTTGACGTTTCTTTGTTGCTTCAATGTTTTACTGAAGATGGAAAAAAAAAATGTGAAGATGACTTTTTGAGGTCTTTATTTTCTATATTATTCATTCCTTTTGGCTCGTATGCTAGGATTAAATAGTTTAGACATCCAGAGAGGTCTATTGGATGTTTTGAAGGGTAAAAGGTGTTTATCTCCTGAAGGCGTTTCTAGTGAGGATTCAGAACCGCAACAAAATCCAAGCCATTTCTAGTGAGAAAACAGAACAGCAACAAAACGTACACATAGAAATCACTGCTGGTTAAGAATTTTAAGAATACACATGTTGACCTTTTAACGTTAGCATGCATGATAACAATTTACTGTTGAAGCTTATCAGACATTCTAGGACTTCTCCATATTATTATTTTTTTGGTCTATAGGGATCCACAAAAAGCAGTGATACGAAGGTGGTTCAATCCCAGGTCTTGGTTACCACGACCCAACCCCAGCCCCAAGACCTTACCAAATAAGCTGATTGGCGTTCGTGGATATTTTTGATGTTGCACATATGGGGTTACCTTCTTCCACCCCTTTGCTTGGATGGTTTAGGTGATCTAGCCTAATTATGTTATTTTTGTTTTAAAATCTTCCTAATAATAGAGACTTTGTTTGAAAATTACTCCTCTTTTAATTTTGACAGATCAAGGATACCACGTACTTTATAGTCATAAATGGAAACAAGGCGTTTTTTTGTTGTTTAGATTTTAATGTTGAGTCTTGTTACCTAATTGTGCAGGGAGCTTGTCATCGGGGCAGTCAAATATGTAAGGACTAGCTTGAATTCAGTAGCTAGCAGGCTGTGGAGATACGATGAAAAAAAGCCCTGGAGATGGACAAAGTATAGAGAAAGCTGTGGTTTTATGACACCTTCTCAGAGCAAGAGGAATCTCGTTAACGAAGGCTCAAGCGAGTTTCAGTGTGTGAGTTGTATTAATAGACGTTATACATCACCATACAACTCAAGTTCGATAGAGAGGTGTGGAGCTGCCAATATGTAATCATCGCAGATCATCTGTTTTATATGAGAGCAGTCATATAATCTCTTGTTTGCTGTACATTTCAACGTGCCAAAGAGCTTACCGCCTTTTCATTGCAGGCAGGTGCTCAATACATATGTAAATCTTATTAAAAATTTCTTTTTCCACATACAAACAGGAGATTATTGTGTAGCTATGTTCATCTGGTGCATCATGGTGAATGTAAAGCATTGAAACTTTCTTCCTATTTCATCTTAATAGATTTTCAGTTGACAAAAAAAAAAAAAAAAAAAAAAAAAAAAACCTTGAAACTTGTATGTTCGATAGGCTACAAAATCAGGTTTATAGTATTGACTATCTACTCTTATTAGTCCACAACCACGCTTGAATTTAGCTATCATGTTACTAGTTGACAAGTAATAGATACAAGATAGTAATTTCATCATAAATTAATACGAAGTACATATGTTTACATAATATGATATATATGATGTATTGATGTACCTAAGACGAATATACACAAGACTTTTTGGACGGTGCATGCATTACAAGTGCCACCTAGGTGCACGTCCAAGTCTAAGTAAGATACTTAAGAGACTAAAACTTGGTAAATTTAGCCATAATCATCAGCAAATATCCTATATTAACCATAGCTTTACAAATTAAGCAAATGTTATTATGACTAAATGAAAAGGGAGGAAGAGATGAGATCTAAGGATAAGATTAACACCCATATCAATATTATTCTGAGCATATTCTTTTAAAATTCACTTTTTTCAACCTACTTTTATAAAATTTCGAGGACAAAATTGAGACCTAGACCAATAAGGATTTGAAAAAGAATGAATTTGGCCATTCTAAAAATGGTTCATTTGCCCATTGTATAGCCTTTTTTTTCATCAATTTTTGTTATAAAACGTGCTTTTATTTCTTACAAGATTTGCCTCATTATTTCTAGTAATTGGAATACAACTTTATTGACTATTTCCTTTTTTGGTTGAAAGGTAATTGAAAAGTCCTACTCATTTTTGCAGCATTTTACAGATGATGAACAAATTTACAAGGGTGATCAATATGGCAATAGCATCTTCTTTTGTCTCTTTAATTAGTACTTGGTTTGCTACATCATCATGCTTATCGAATAACAACGAACCATATTTGAGACGCGATCTATAAATGGTTATGCTTACACGCATTGGTAATTTTTGTTATGTTTTTAGTGTAGTTTTTATTGTGTTTTCAGTATAACTAATACTATATACGAAGTACATAGTAGTATGTGGTACTACATATACTTGAAAAAATGAGTTCTCGCTTAGTATTTATTTATTAGAATCGATTACAATAACATGATCACCAATGTTTAACTATAAGCTTATTGTAATTGAAATTTTCTGAATGGTCACTTTGGGCTTTCAGAGTAAAAACTACTTTACAAATTACAATTATCCCCATATTAGAAATAAAAAGAGTACAACAAAACAAGCTCACATCATTATTAGGGATATAATCATATAAATTATGGAAGAGTAAGTTCAAAAGGTTGGTAGCTGTAAATCTGATCTTTAGGCATGAGAAAAAAAAATAAATTGAAATCAAAGTCAAGATACTAGCTTGGTACAGTTACCTTATGGTGCAATTCTTGGAAAAGTTTCATGTTTCTTATCCTAGTTAAAAGAAATCACTTTACTCTGTATCAATCAATGATAAAGGAATTGTATCAACCAGATCTCCCTATATTTTAATTTATCTCGTTATACTTCTCTTGTCCAAAAATATTAGTCAAATCCGAAAAATTTGTAATATTTCATAAGATAGTCCTTCATATTATAATTGAGTGATGGGGAGAATATACAATTACTATACATGAGTACTATATATATGGTGATCCGACGATTATTCTACTAAAGATTTTTTAAGTAAAATTGGGTCATATACTTAATTATGAGATGTTTGAGAAAATGCGTGCATATGACTATATTTTTAATCAGATGGAGTGTAAAACTCATTTCTTTCTTGTTTCATAATTAATATTTTTAAGTCTTAGATTTTTAGTACTCTACTCCAAAAAATTAAAGATTTTATAACTCGTACATATTAATTAACTGATACACACCAATACATTTGTACATAATGTTAGAAACTTTTGTGAGAGCTAGGATATGATAAATCAAATAAAGCATAATTTAATCTCTCGTTGAAAAAATAGGAGCTAGGAAGCAAGAATTCCAAACTAATTCTACCAAAAATTGTTAATATTGTTAACTATATTCCAAAATTAAAATAAGCAAAAGTATCAAAGAAGTGCCAAGCTAAGTATCCGCGTGTTTGCTGTCCTTAGTTTATTTAAATGTTCAAGTTATTAACTAAAAAAATTGTAATTTACGCCATTGTTTTGAATTCGATTAGTCCTCAAAATTCCAAACAAGGAAATCTAGTTTAGCAAGAAATCTATTACTAGTAAAATCCTTGTTATTTGACACTCTCATATTATTAGCATGCAATTATTTACTAAACATAGTAATTACGTTAAGGTTGATTTGTTATATGTAGAAAAAACTTGAGGATGAAGTTTAAGAATGAGGCTAGGTAAAATGGGGAGATTTGAGACACATTACCACCTTCTTAGGCAAACTCTCCGTTCTTTTTAACTCCTATATTGACTTATCAAAGATCGATGATGTCAATCATGTCATACAATCCGTTTATGTATAATAACACCCCGTGTTCTAATGAAACAGTCAGACGAGATATAATCTTATTTCATGTGTACGTACCATATATCTAGTATTATAACCAATTTATATGGCATCCTATCTAAAGCCGAAAAAGAAAAACTTATGTCAATAGATTTTCCTTAATATTTCACATAAATAATGGTACTACTAAAGATGGAGCTTTGTGTCAAAAAAAAAAAAAAAAAAAAAAGATGAAGCTCTTCCACTTTATAAACATTCTTTAAGGATATCAACTACTAGTATCTTTAGTTGATTAAAGTCTTGAAAGTCAATATCAACATTAATTTCATTTATATCATTACCCTTAAAAAAAAATTATTATGGTTTGTTTAATCTCGCATAAGTATTCCTGTTATAATTTTCATTTCATCAGTATTCTCGTATGATGATAAGAATATACAATGTATATACTATACCTAGTTACATATTTTTATTATGCTAAATTATTAGAGTTGTCCAACTATATATCGCATTAAGTCAAAGATTTTCTTGGTGCATACGTCAACAAATTTTATAATAAATTTATACTCATGTACTGATGTACTCCTATATTGTTTGTAAGCTGACCCCAAACAATAATGAGATATATACTAATATGCATTATATTTGAGTAATAATGATCTTTTTCATCACAAATTTCTTAGTGTTTTTTTTCCTCCTTTTTTGGTGAGTGAAGATAATGTTTGAGAAAATTACGTTCATATTTTAGTGAAAACCAATAACTATACTTCCTTACTCGTAGCATCATTATTATATTTGTCAACGCAAAATTTTATCCATTAATATTTACAATTATTTATTAATAATGTACGGCGATTATATAACACACACATTTATACACAACAACTCTAAAACGAAATATAGAACCAATTTGACTTTGCGGGAACCCACACATTCACTATAGTGGTTATACTGTATACGTCCATATTGTCTTTAAATTGTCAATTTACCCATTATTGTAACATACGCCCCATTGTACTTCAATAACTCAAGGCCACCAGACGATTTTATATGACCGACTAGTGATTACATACATATATGATTTCACAACATTATATGACCCCGATACACATCCCCTACAATCCTACGATTTTTTGACATCGGATCCAAAAACCTAAAAAGTGGTCGGGGTTCTTCCCACGGATTCCACGACACCATTAGGAGGCATTTGGGTGGTTGGAACCATCCATTTTTCCTTTAAACCGTCAATTTAGCTGTTTTTGTACATGCCTCCCGTAATTAACTTAGGGCCACCACAGGCCTTTCTATGACCGACTTGTGGTCATATATGGTTTCATACAAAATTATATGATCCTAGAATGCATCCCCTACATTCTCGGGATTTTTTGACACTGGATCCCAAAACCTCCAAAATTAGTCCAAAAGCGTGAATTATAACCTTTAATTTTAGACAAATTTTGAATTTTCTGGACCCAGAAATGGAAGAGGCCAAGGTGTTTTCCACGGGTCCCACAACACCCGAGAGGTCATTTGAGTGATTGGAATCATGCATCCACTTTGCATTTAAACGGTCAATATAAATATCTCTGTATATGCCTCTTTTCAATGGCTAATTTTAAAAATTAACATATTGAACTCTACAACATATATAAGTGACTAAGTTGTCTAAGTATAAGTTCTATCAAACACCGCGAATCCGGGTCTATTCCGCTAGATTCGACCGAGATTCAACCCATTATCATCTCTAGGGTGATAGTAAGTACGTAGGTTCACCCGCTCACACACACATACGCACAAGCGGCTCGACACATAATGTGCATGGGTGCATACCGGTGCTACCGGCCGGGTGCACATCTAACTTGTCTAGTGGACAGCCACACCGTACCATAAAGTGAACAATGAACATTGTTATAAGACTCTTAAGTAGTTGTACAAGCAAGGCACAATATAGAAAGAATAAAATAAATGGAGTAACATGTGCGTCATAGATTGAAAAATTATACAGAAAAGATGGAAGTAAGGTTAAACAATTGGTGCACATAATAGTAATAAACAAACAAAAATGATAAGTGAATGTTTGGTAAGAAGAAGATCAACTGTGTAATAACGACACTAAAGGAGCAGTTAGAGACTATTTATTTTATCTTATTTGTGTCGTAAATTGAAATTTTATAGTAGTTCAACTGGAGATCAAAAAGAACACCAAATTACAAGCTAAAATTTGTATAAATTATTTATATTATTAATAGAATGTAATTAAGTATATCTTTTGATGTGATTTGTAGGATTACCTACTGCTTTATTGTTTTCTGTTGGATTTTAAATGCTGCTTTTAGGCTCAAGCAAGCTCTTGTGCATGAGTTATTATCATCAATATATTTTCTTCCCTTTTCTTTTTTCTTTTTTTTTTCAATTATACTAGTGAAATTTTATTACTGTTGATCGAATTACCGTGGTGTATATATTGATAATATACAAAATCAATACATTAGGGTTTAGGGGATAAAATTAAAGCGAAAATTCAAATATATGTAACACGAAAAAAAAAGCATTATTATTAAACTATTTTCCATATTAAAACATTATAATTTATGTTTTTAGATTTAAAAAAAAAAAAAAAAAAAAAACTCTTAGATAAAATAATCTCACACTAAATCAATGTACATAATCTCTTTTTTTTTTAATAAGATACAATCTTACCATTAGATCAAATATTATTTGACATTCCGTAATAAATATTTACTCGTATAGTCGCATGGATTATGGAGTACGTAAGTAGCCCAAAAACGAAGAAAGTAATCAGTCCTGTATTTGACTCTATCAATCGTCAGCCACGTATCTAAGTAAACACCTCCCTCCAAAAATAAACAAGGACAAAAGTCTACGGTGACAGCGTAAAGCTTCACCTTAATCATGTTTTCATGCATGCATATTTCCACATTCTACTATTTTCGCTGCTTCAAAATCTTCGTGTGGTTCTAGTACTTACTACGCATTTAGTCATGCATTTGCTTAACACTAATCTTACGTATCTTATCCTATCCAAGTCAAAAATTGAATCGTATATCCGGCCTAAAGCATGTTTTATACCTAATATTAATATCTCGTTGGACATAACAAAAAAAAAAATAGGGATAAAAGATTGTGAAAATCATAGAGAATTAGTGATTGTTAACAAGGATAAGACGCATGCTTATTCGCTGGGAATAAAAAAAAAATGAGTAGTTGTATCTAAATTACTCTTATATATCCTTACTAACTTATTCATTTTCTTCGAGAGATAGGTTTTATCCTTATCCTTATTTTTATCGACTTATCGCTTCTTTAGTTTTCACCTCCTAACAAACTTATGACTTTCAATCTATCCCTTGCCCCTTCCGGCTTTCTTCTTTATTATCCCCTTAGAAATTAAATTCTCACCTCATACATGGATGAAGTCATTGTAATTTTTCTAAGAACAAAATTTAATTTGTTACTTTAAGTGTATTTTATTAGTAACACTATACTTCCCTTGTATCAAATTTTCCGTAGAGAAATTTGGTTATAATTTTCTTTAATCGTGTTTTATTAGTCATTACGCAAATATTTATGTGAATGTACTATAATTAATTTTTGAAGGCCAATGCAACATATCTTTAACATTAACTAAGTTTTTAGTGTTTCCTGGCTTGACCACTTAAAAAGAGTTGAAAAGAAGATTATTTTGTGACACAAATATTTAATTTGTTAGAAATTCATTAACAATTATCACTTAATTAGTCGTGGGAGTAAATAATAATTAGTCCTAGGGTCAATATCATTATCTAATTAATTTGTAAGAATGACTGCTATCAAATCCGAATTGGGGAGAAAACATGATATAATGTTCAAAGGGAGAAAACATGTGATTAGGTAACATAACACACTAAATTTATGCACAAAATTATAATTAGTAGCATTACCCTACCACATAGTAGTAGTTAATTTTATAGAAATTAAACTCTACAATTGGGTGATTAGGTAACTAATTTGATTTTATCCTAAGTAACTATAGTCTACTTCATATACTACCAAAAAATAATTTCTAACAAGGACAAAATTGGAATTTAATTGTGATGAATACATCTAAGCTTAAAGTATATCTAGGAAAGCTTCTTAATTACACTAAAGTAAAGGCAATTAAATTAAAGTCAATTTTCCATAAAATATGCCAACACATACATCCTATAAAAACCCTCCTTACACTATAGCAAAGAGATTAAGATTCCTAAATTCAATTGCTATAATTTAACTCCATCTACTTCTATGTCCTCCATTTCCACATTCAAATCTTCCCTCCTCAACACCGCCTTCAGACACATTTGAGCTCGAATTACTGGATCGAAACTGCTGGTACAAACATATAATCAGACTATACAAACTTGTGCATGTATATAACATATGATAATGATTTTAATTGCTTAAATTTTGCTCTAGATAATAGTTCTATATGTGATGACACAGGAATAGGAACTGATATACAAGGATAAATGATGGTGAGATCACCGTGCTGCGATGAAAGTGGTCTAAAGAAGGGTCCATGGACACCAGAGGAAGATAAGAAGCTAGTGGATTACATTGACAGACACGGCCATGGAAGTTGGCGAGCTCTCCCTAAACTGGCAGGCTTGAACCGCTGTGGTAAGAGCTGCAGGCTTCGCTGGACTAATTACCTTCGCCCTGATATCAAACGCGGAAAATTCACTGATGAGGAGGAGCAAACAATCATCAACCTTCACTCTGTGCTTGGCAACAAGTATGACCATCATACATGTTTTCTTTACTGTTAACAGCAAATTTACTGCATTGTGTCTGTTACCTTCTAAAGTTCTAATGCATGTATATGTATTGTTATCTGATGATTGCAGATGGTCAGCAATAGCAAGCCACCTTCCTGGGAGGACAGACAACGAAATAAAAAACTTCTGGAACACCCACCTGAAAAAGAAGCTTCTGCAGATGGGTATCGATCCTGTGACTCACAGGCCGAGGACAGACCTGAATCTGCTAGCTAACCTCCCTCAGTTGCTCATGGCTGCCAACCTCAGCAACAGTCTCATGATGAACAACAGTACAGGCAATGGAGTTCCTAATTTGGAAGATACTCTTAGGTTGATAGACTCTGATGCCACCCAACTCGCCAAATTCCACATACTAAACAATATGCTGCAGGTGTTAAGCCCAAGCAGCAGCAATCCACCTGCTGTATCTTCTCAGATTACAAGTCTTCTTTGTAATTCAACCATGCCCTTCCAAAACCAATTGAACGATAACCTACTTAGAATGGCTAATTCCCAGATGGTAAACGGACTTACTGGTGCTATCAGCAGTCAGTTCCCACCTTCAAATCCTTTAGCTTCCAGCAGCCTTGAAAGTCCAGCAACTCCTCAATTTCAACCAAATTTCAAGCATGGCCGCCACAGGAGTTATACTAGTAATGAATATCATGACAGTAAACAAACTGGTGTTGAAATTCTTACACCCGACAGTTTAATGCCTGGTCTAGTGCCGGCCTCACCAGACCACTGCAGCAAGCTAATTAGCCAAAAGGGTGATGCAATAATGGCATCAAACCCTTCCTCAGCCACAACTACTGCAACTCCCTTTGAAGCAGCTGCTGCAGATTGGACCAATGACCTTATTGATGATGCTGCACACTCTTACTGGAGAGACATTATTGAGTAAGGCTCTATCTTTACTATAGCTTTTGCAGATAATTTTTTCTTCTTTTCCCCCTTGATTGCGGCATGATTACCTCCATTGGTTGTTAATATATTATGTGATCATGCTCATATCTGTTTTCTGTTTCATTATTGGCAGCCAAGCATCCTCCCCTTCCTGGCCTATCTCATCATAGAGAATGTAAATTTTGGTCAAATATATCCAGAGATGAATAATTTTTACAAAAGAAGATTTTTAAATTAGTGTAATCTGAGTTTTACATCCGGACAAATATAGTTGCTATCATACAGATGGAAGAAGACTCTTGTATAAAAGCTATGCCACTTCATTCCGGCCTCTGTGTTGTACTATCTATCTGGTTGCAGATTTCAATATTGTTGAGATTAGCATTTTTCTGTTATATAGAATATCAAGCATTCACAGTGCATCATTACTAATGCAGCAGTGTCCAGATAACATGGAAACAGGTCAAAAACATATACTGACTATACTGTGGCCGGCTCGTGCACACACAAGGGCATGGATGGGCACATATTGGTATATGCTAGATTGGGTGCATCATTCTAGGCACTACCAGCCAAGTACATGAAATAATTTGCCATAGGTCCATTTCAATCAACAAATAAGACTCGTTAAAACAGAACATATTTTGTTATATTAACCAATCTCCAATTGCGCCAAAATTGAATTTTCTCTTTTTCCACCCCAATTAAAATTTAAACAGAGAGCAATATTCCACATGAAAGTTACATTACCAAATGAGCATAAAGCGAGCCTCAAAAAATACTAGTTATATTCTGGCTTAACTGACTGATAACTCCATATACCTTCTGAGTTCTTATAAAAGAGAAAAGTCAAAACAATTTGTTAACCATTAGGTAAGACTATTTTTCTTATGGTGTTACAGCAGCCAGCAAGAAAATGACTTTCCTAGGCATCCCTCTTTGTCGACTTCCAATTTATTTCTAGAATATGAAAAATAGTAATAAAGCTACATTTTTATCATTAATGAAAAAGATACTACAAGCTAACTTTCAAGGTCCAATATCTTGACAAAGAGGCAAGTAATTACTCATATACAAGCTATTTGATCATATTATAGCAGTAGGTACACTATTTCAGCGTTGACCCTGCTTAAGCAACCAACTTCTTACCTACTATTTCCAAGTAATCAGTCTGCATGATGATGCTCCAAATGTTAAGGACTTTACCAATGTACGTTACCAAGGTCGCATGAAGTTGGTACACATCAAATACCGTAGATGCCTAGCACAATCCGAGTCCTGAAAATGATGTCAAAAAGAAGAGAGGGGCTAACAAATTCAACTTACAATCAAAGCACACGGATTATATATATTTATTGTATGGACTCCACCATTCACTAAAAAAGAGTGAAACATTTCATAAAAAATATTATTCTCCTATCTGCAGATGATATGGTTCACAGTAGTCACAGCCAGAATTGAGAAAGGCAGTGTCACAAGAAGAAAGGATTAAGAAGAATGGCTTACAAATTTATTGCTGCTGATAGCAAGATAGCATTTACCCAAAATGCTTATATAAGCAAAGACATTGCTCAGTTACTGATAATAAGTAAGGGAAGTTATCAGCGGACAAAGCCGACACCCACTTAAGACCCTGGCCTGTTATTAGTTACAGGGCATCGGTTAGATGTTTGCTTTTCTCGCATAACTAACCACAGGATATCATAATCTTTCACATGTGTTCCATGAAGAAGTAAAATTCTAAGGTTCCATCCTTGAACGATGACCCCTTGAACTATTTTCAACAATAAACTATAAGAAATATCAGGACATCAAGCTTGCTACCTGAGGTTAATCTGACTATATACTTTAATAAGATGACACTGGAAAAAATGGGATACATATGTTATCAATACATCTTTACAATTTAATGATAAAACAGAATAACAGGAAGTGACAGGAATCAGGAAACATCAAAGGCCACCAATTGGTCTAATCACCATGGAAGTCACTAATGATCATAGATAGTGTGTGACAATTCACAATCAAAAATCTCAAACAGGACACTTATCTTCAATGCTGCTGCATTGTCTAGGTTAGCAGCTTAAGCTACATTCTACTTGGCCTCCTTTATGGTGGGTGACATCCCCAAACATAACCATGATGGACTAGAATTAAGTATGTATCAGTATTGTCAGAATTCAGAAGAGAAGATTGCAAATTTGTGATACATTATGGGTCAATCCTGCCTAAGTACTCGAAACAACCTAAGACTGAAACGAAAATGCAATGAAGGGTTTCTTCCATGATTAGTAGGGTAGAACATTAACATTGCACCAAAACATTCTGGCTAAACTGGCAATATACCCGAGGAGAAACAAGAAAGTCTGAGCTAATGTCCAATATTGATCAGTCTCACACACAAGAAGAGACAGGTGAAAAGTAAATGTAAATACACGATATTAGTCTCACACACATAAATAGTAAAACTGTGTTATGTATGGGATACTCGCAATAACATTAAACAAAGACTTGTTAGAAAAAGGGACAAAAACAAAATGCATTTCATTTATGTGATTTCAACAAAACTACACAGGACAGTAAGCAAAATTGAACAAGTTACATGCTAAACATTGGAATGCAGAACAATGTTACAGCATCATTTTATCATACAGCAGCACCATCTCAAGCCTTTTCAGACACCGGAACGACTGCTGTTAACAACATCCAAAAAGAAATGAGTCAACATAGCTTCAAACTCCGGCAACTTAGCATAACCCGGGAAGTAATTAATATCAATGATCAAGTACTTGACACCACTCGATTCGGACCCGTCTCGAATCAGATCAAAATTAAACAAATTAAGCTGTGCACCCTCTCTCATCGCACTAGCCAATCCATTGACAAACTCCATAGGAGGCATAGCAACATTATCAACCTGCAGTTGTTTTTCAGTCGTTGGCAAATTCGAAATCTGCGAAAACGGCATTACACCTTCATCCTCAAAATGATCAGCTGTTACATCAAAATCTGGAAGCGATTTCCTTTGAACACACCTAACATTCTTCCCAGCAACATAAACCTTAAACAAAATTCCGCCATGATTAACAAACTCCTGAAGAACAATTGGGGTTTGATTCTTCAACTTCTTCAATCCATTTGAATTAAAAACCAGTGACATTTGATGAGATTTAATGCTTCCATTCGCAACCACTGGTTTCGCAATCACCGGAAATTTCAAACCCAGATTCTCAATCTCATCTTCATCCATCAACAAAACCTGCTTCGGAATCCCCACACTCGGCGCCATCTCCGCCGTAGACGACGGAATTACAAGATTTTTGACGGCTTCAAGCATCGAAATCCGATCATGAAGACGCTGAATTGCGGTGGGAGAATCAATAACTGGAATACTAGGGTTTTTCGAAGCGAAATCGAGTAATTGACGACTCCAATCATCGTCGTAAATCTTGTGAAGAACGCAATCAAATGGACCTTGATGAATCAAAGGTTGATTGACATCAATTGGGATGAAATCAACACCATGGTTCTTGGCGTAAGTGAGTAAAGATGGGTTCAAGATGCTGTCAACTTTCTTTGGAGGTAATGCGTATCCTACTAATATTCTTGTTGTTGTTGTATCTCCATTTTTATTCTGATTTTCTCTATCCTCCGCCATTAGAGAGTTCTGTGATACTGTCTTTGAGGTGGAATATGTAAAGAATGGGTTTGTTTGGAAATTGTAGTTTGTGAATGAATTTATTGAAGGAGGAGGTGAGTAAAAAGGGTAGGTGTGATTCGGGGTTTGAGGAGAATAGTGACAAGTGATGTGGGCGTGCTACTGACTTTTGCGTCAGCGGTCCATTCCTTCTACGGCGAATGGTTTACATGTCGGTCAAACTTTTCCCGCTATTAGATTGCCTTTTCTTTTTCGGGATCGAATTTTAAAATTAAGGACTATTGGTTAGTGTTATAGGAATTATTTTGTTACGGTTATAGAGGTTGTTATATCAGAGTTTTTTTTTTTTTTTTTTTTTTTTTTTTTTTTTTTGCGAACGAGGAGCTAGGCTCCAAAGAAAACAAGAAAAAAAATATTAAGGCGGAACTAAATGTGGCATAGCCACGCTAACAACATCATCATACAAAATTCGACCCGGTAGTGGGGGGACTTGAATCAACTCGATCTTATTGTTCTAATTTACGCCTTGATTTTCTAGTCAATCCACGGCTCTATTTGCTTCTCTATAAATGTGATGGACTTGCACTTCCCACTTTGTATCTTCTAGCATCTCTTTACATCTGTTGACAATGTGCACACTTTCGCCTCCATAGTTGCTTGTACCATTCAAGGCCCTTACTAAGGCCTGGCTATCTATTTCCACCTGTAGGTTTAGAGGCTTCAGTCTAACAGCCAATTCCAACCCATAATGAATAGCAAGGGCTTCAGCCATATAGGCATTACTTGCCCCAAGTTTAATTGAGAAGGCATACAACAACTTTCCCGTGCAATCTCTTATAACCCCACCCCCTCCGGCTAGGCCAGGGGCACCCTTCGTAGCACCATCTGAGTTCAGAGCTAGCCAACCTTGTGGAGGGGCAAGCCACTTGATGAAAGCTTCACTCCTTCTCCCTGGTATTGAGCTAGCATTACTCTCCCCATCCCCTAGTACACGCCATGCCTCTTCAAATCTAGCGAGTAAGAATTGGCTAACATCAGTTGGATTTTCTTGAGTTCTATCAAAAATAATGTTGTTTCTCCACTTTCAATCCACCAACAAACAATAGCAAAATAAGTGGGCTAAAATTCAGGAGAATAATCATTTCTTACCTGAATTTTGATGTTCTAATAACCCATTGTTGTAAAGTGCCCTGCTTCTAATGCTAGCAGGACCACCAATTTGCTTCCAGATATCCCTAGCCATCTTGCAATCCCTGAGATGGTGAAGGGTGGTATTCATCATGAATATTGCAAAGCTTACATCGAGGATCATCCATGAGATTTCTTTTGAATCTATTTGCATTTGTCATTATACGGTCGTGTAATACCAACCAAATAAACACTCGTATTCTTTGAGGCACCCGTAATTTCCAGGCAAGCTCCCAACTACCATCAACTGGAACTTCTTCCTCCTTTCGAATGATCCTCATAGCTGATTTGATTGTGAAACGCCCCTTTGTTGAACCATCCCAATAAAGCAGGTCACCAACACTCGAGTCAGCTTGGATAATATAAGCATCTATTTGCTAAATGATCTCGCCAGGTAACAAGTCTGCGAAAGCTTCCCACCTCCAACCCAGGTTATTATCCCACATTTCACCGACTGTAGCACCTTCAATTTCTTGGGGTATGATATCAATAGCAAGGCTTCTTAGAGTGTGATTTCCCACCCACCTATGATCCCAAAATAGAGTGCTTGCTCCATTATTGACAGCTACCCTCGCACCTTCATACATATATGTTGCATTTTCTATTATCCCCCTCCATACGTTAGACATATTTGACCTTGGTTCAAACATATCTAAGTCACACCTCCCTTTACAATATTTGGCACGCAAAACAGTCGACCATAAAGAGTGAGGCTCCGTAAGGACTATTCACCCTAATTTGGTCAAGAAGGCAGAGTTAACATTCCTCAAAGATCGCATCCCGAGGCCTCCCTGATCCTTGGGTAGTTGAAGCTTGTCCCAAGATAAGAGATGGATCCTTCGTTGTTCTTCACTTCCACCCCAAATAAAGCGACAAGTTCTTTTATCAATTTCATCACAAATTCCCCTAGGAATTTTAGCAGTCTGCATTGCATAAGTACTCATGGTGTTTAAGGTCAACTTAGCTAACGTTATCCTTCCAGCAAGAGATAAAAATTTTGACTTCCACCCCGAAAGTCGCCTGTCAATTTTTTCACATAAATAAGCAAATGTATCTCTCGTTACTCTGCTAGTAATCGTTGGCATACAAAGGTAGGTACCAAAGTCATCCGTTTCAGCAATTCCCAAGGATGTAAAGACCATATTTTTATTATCAGGAAGCATATTATTGGAGAAAAAAGTGCAGGACTTGGCATAACTAATCTTCTGGCCAAAGACACCACAGAAGCGAGCCAAGCAATCATGAATAATTCCAACCTGCTCTACCAAGGCTTCCGTGAAGAGAACAATGTCATCCGCAAAACACAAATTTGATAATTTTAGCCCCTTGCGACTTGCATAAATAGGTTTCCGTTTATTATTAATAATGGATTCCTCAATAATTTGGTTGAGCCTTTTGATATGTTCATTTTATATATTGTTTTACCCCCGTCCCTTGGTCATATTTAGGAGTATGTTTTGCTCTTTTTATATAGGTTTCCACTTTTATTACTAATATGTGTTTTCTAGTGTTTTCGTAGTTTTGGTATTATTTTATAGGATATTGCATATTTCGAGCATTTTCCCAGATTTATGATAAGCCACTACGAGCATTGGAGAAATATGACCATATTTCGTAGCCCAAGACCGGTTAGAGTCATCAAATCGGTGATTAAGGGCTCGGCAAAGAAGAGACCGAGGCAGTGGACCAAGTATTCAAGACCCAAGGTGGAAACCCAGAATTGGGCCAAGAAAGTGGCCCAACCGAAGTCCATGTTTGCCCGAGTGCTTGCCCGACCGGGAAGGCCCTCGCCCTGTGGCACGCCCGGTCGGGCGAGGAAGAAGGAAGAGAGCAGCTCTCTGCTCGGAGGCGCCCGACTGGGCACGAGCAGAGGTTCCCTTATCAAAAAGGCGCGTTTTTTTGAAGAATGTTTTGCGACTTTTAATTTTCGTTTAAGTTTAGGATTTCTAGCTTAAGTATAAATACGCTTTTCTAAGCAAGGGACGAGGACGTCTTCCATTGGTTAATTTCCAGATTTTAGTTTAAGCTTTTGGTTAATACTCTTGTTTTCTCTCTCTACACTTTGTGTTTTATGCAATTCATTATTTCCGTTTATTTTGGTAACAATTTCTTCCCCTTTTATTTTTACTAATTTAATTTCTTTGATTAATTATGTTTTGTTTATTGGCTTTGCTTAATTTAGATTTAAATATGTATGAGTAGTTTTATTTATAGAGTTGTGGGGATCCATAAATAATATGAAGTGGTAATTTACTATTGTTGACTGTTAATGCTTTGGTTGATTTCCCATTGATTGATTTAATGCTATGCAATTAGATTAGGCCTGGTATGAGTTATGCAATATTGATTCGAGATTCGAGAGATGAGAATGGATGTTTAGGCTTAGTTTCAATAAGCATGTTAATTTATAAATGGTTAAGTCAAGATTCGAGAGATGCGATTTAATACCGGGTAGATTAATTCTGTGATTGTAATACGTAGTGAAAGCCCTTTATAATTTGATTAATTGATGTATTGATAATTAATTGTTGTGTTTTACCCTGGAATATTATTAATTGGTGAACCTGTACCCTAGGCTTTGATTTATTGATTTCTCCCTTATTTAATTTGCTTTATTTTAATTATTCTCCTTAGTTTAATTCCCATAAAAATAATTTGGTTACTTGATAATCTAGATTATTTTAATTATTTAGGAATAGAAAGACTTGTTTCCCTGTGAATTCGACCCTACTTCCCTATCTGCTTTAGCTAGAGGACTTAGGTAATTCTTTTGATTAGGTGATACGACTTTAGCCTGTCACCTTTCCATACAAAGAACAAATAAATAAGGTGATAAGGGATCACCTTGACGGATACCTCTTCCCAGCTTAAAAACTCTTGTTGTTTCACCATCCCATAGCTCACGCATGGAAGATGTAGTAATGCACTCCATGATGACTTCAATGATAACAAGGGGGGGGAATCGGATTTCAAGCAAGGTGTCATGAATGAAGTCCCAACGAAGCCGGTCATATGCTTTTTTGAAGTCAATTTTGATAGCCAAAAAACCAACTTTTCCAGTTTTGTTCTTCATGGTGTGTAGGACTTCTTGGACGATAATTGTGTTGTCGGTGATTTGTCTACCTGGCACAAAACTTGTCTGCTTACAAGAGGTGAGATGAGGCATCATTGGTTTGATACGATTAACAATTGCTTTAGTGATGACTTTATAAATTACGTTGCAAAGGCTAATCAGCCTAAATTGCGAAGCAAGTTCCGGAGAGTCGACTTTTGGTATAAGCACTAGAAAGGTGTCATTTAAATTTTCTGGAATTCCCTTCCCTGCTAGAACATCCAAAGCAACCTTATAAACATTTTTAGCCATGATATCCCAATGCTTTTGAAAGAAGAGCGCCTGATAACCGTTTAGACCGGGTGCTTTCAAAGCACCCATATTCTTAATGACCCTCTCGATTTCACACTTAGAGAAAAGGCGAGACAAAAATTCCCAATCCCTAGTGGTGAATTCAGGGAAAAAATCGGATGGGAGCTCAGTTGGGGTAACATCCTCGTCTTGTGTAAGCAAATTCTGTAAGTACATCACAATATTTTCTTGTACTGCCTCTCTGTCATGCAACCAATCACCATCGACACTCTCTTTGATTGCTGAAATTTTATTTCTCCATCTACATGCAATAGTGCTTAAGTGAAATAAGGTAGTGTTTCTATCACCATCACGTATCCATTCGACTCTCGATTTTTGATACCACAATAGTTCTTCTTGTCCAAGAACCTCATCAAGCTCAAGCCGCATCTTTGCTTCTAATTTATTAAATCTCTCGATTTTTGTTGTGCTAGGCATTTTTGAACCCCTGCTATTCTTGCCAACAGGTTTCTTTTTTTCTTGAAAGTATTGAGGAAAACCAGTTGGTTCCACTCTTGGAGATCATTCGTAATTTTTCCCAAGTGAGGGACTAAAGGAGCTTGTTTATCCCATTTTTCTTCAATATACGATCTGAAATTTTCATGTGTCATCCAATGCCGCTTGAAATCTAAAGGGCTTGTTAATTGATGAAACCGGGGCAAAGCCGTTTGGTGATATTAGGATGGGGCAGTGGTCTGATTGAACTGCTGGAAGAACTTTAGAAGTCACATCAGCAAATCCCAAGCTCCAATCACCATTACATAGCGCACGATCCAATCTAGCACTAACTCTTGTATTGATGTTATTACCCCGAGCCCAAGTATGAGAAGGGCCACTAAATTCCACTTCTAAGAGACCCATATCTTCAACCCATTCATTAAATCTCGCAGATCTCCTCGAATTTTCAGCACAACTTGAACTCCTTTCCCAAGAGAAACGAGTGTCATTAAAATCACCGACAAGAATCCAAGGTTTATTATGTGAAGCAGCAAAATCCTTGAGCTCTCTCCATAAATCAATGCGTTTGACTAGATCTGGGCTAACATAAACAGCCGAGAAGTACCATGGCTCCTCACCAACCCTCTTAATCTACATGGATATATGCTGACCATGCTTAATAATTGGCTCAACTGTTACTAAATTCATCCTCCAAAAAATC